AGTAGTACAATAATTTCTGCTGATATGATTAAACTATTCAGTGTATAGGTAAAGGCAGGGATAAATTAACATGAGAAGAAAAATTATATCCAGGTCTAGATATTAGACAGAGAGTCTTAGATTGGCCTTTGGTTGATGAAAACAGTGTCGTTCGTTAAATCATTAAATGACACTCCAGTCGCTCAAAATGGCAAAGAAGTGTTTTCAACGCATGTTGAAAAGTCCTGTTGTAGCTTTAAGGCAGAGCCCAAAGTTCAAGGATGCTGTAGCAATAGTCTGAAACATCTACCTCTATTCAAGTCTCTGCTAGATATTTTGACAGTTTTCAGCTGAACAACTTTCAAAATAGCCATCAGATACTGAAATAGAAGCAGATGTTTTGGTCTACTGTAGCAAAAGTCACTTACTTAATGAAATATGATTTTATAGAAGGCAAGAAAATCAATTTTCAGCCAGATTTGTCTGTGATATTGATTGGAGATGATGAAAGGAATGTGGTCATTTTAAATGTACAATCATCAAACTTTATATTTCTATTAAACCTCCAAATTCCAGGACAAATAGCATGCAGTTGAAAATTTTATTGATTATTGTGGTCACTGTGGACACTCTTTAATCCCAGTTATTGAACACCAAGTTTAGCCGAGGCATAGCTATTATTTGTCTACTATTTAACTAATAAATTGTTGTTTTATTATTGATATTGCAGGTAATGTTAGTATGGTGATATCTAGAGATGATATAGAAATGAAGTAACATGTTTAATTATAATAAACCAAGAACAAAGTTAACAGCTATACACAGAGAGGTAATTTGATAAAGTCTATGTGACCTAAAGGAAGTATCAGGCCTAATGTCATCTCTCCAAATGTCTTCAACATGTAGGGCCCTCTTGTAGATTTAGAAACAGAAAAAGTAGATTGAGTCATTTGTGTGGAATCTTGTAACAGATTCAAACTATTTGCTGTAGGTCTAAGGTTTTATTCCATTGACAAAAGCAACATGGAAAGTTGTTTGTTATAAACTGTGCATGTTAAAGAAAGAAATTCGAAAAAAAAAATTGGCAAAATTGCTCTTGCACTGCTTTAACTTTAGTTTACACTTTCTCATCCTTTGAGTATGGTTTCTACTTCATGACCTTGGCCAGTGTTTTTTGGAATAATACTATTCTCATCCCAATCTGATACTGCTTTGGTTTGCCTGTTTTCATAAGGATGAAAATATTTATTTTATTTCAAATCTGGCTTTCTCTAGTTACCATCATCATTTCGTCAAATATTCCTTGTGGAAAACTGATTTGGTTCTTTTGCTGTATTCATTTATACTTAAATAATTTTAGCATGATATAGTTATCCCAGAACCAGCCCCTATTATACTACGACAGACACATTCCAATGAACATATAATGAGAAGAGTTAATCAACCAGCAGATTTTACTCTTAACAACTTTGCAGGTAATACTTTTCATCTTTAGATACAAGATTTCTTACAGGCATCTCAGTTTTAGGCAATATTAAGCCTGTCTTCACATCTTAATGTGGGTGTTTATATTGTTCAAATGTAAATCGTCCACAATAATTATCTTTTGAATGTGAGGCCACAGTTCTGATCTAATTTTGACGAAACAGTGTGCTTAAATGTACATTGTTGAGATCTCCGATATTCAAAATTTTTTATGGATACTGTCAGTGATTGGGCCAAAATACATCGTATTGGCTTCATCTCTTGCCAATATTAGTGTGATGAGATATTAAGAATAGCTCCTTTGTGGACCTACAGCCTATTGGGTGACCGCTTATTAACCTTTTCTGCGTTTATCAGGTTCTTGAACTTGGCTTGTGAATGCAATAGAGACAACAGTTTGATATGAATGAAATTTGGTGTGATCATTTTGGACAAGTTCGAATTTGACCATCTTTCCATGAACGGTTTTGAATTATTGCCCTTGACTTACGAAAAACACTTCAAAATTTGGTTGTGAACACAATAGAGACTAAAGTTTTCATCCAATTTAAATGAAATTTGGTGTGAATATTCATAATGATGGGATCTTGAATAAGTTCGAATTTGGCTATCCTTCGGTGAACAGTTTTTGAGTTATTGCCCTTGACTTGGGGAAAAAAGCGTCAAAATTTGTTTATGAGACAAAGAGACAATTTTCATACGATTTAAATGAAATTGGTGTGATCAATTATAGTGATGAGATCTTAGACCATTTGACGATCTTTAGATGAACTTTTTTGAGTTATTGCCCTTGATTTATGAAAAACGCAAAATTTGTTTGTGAACATTCAGTTTTCATCCGATTTAAATGAAATTTGGTATGATCATTTATGATAATGAGATCTTCGTCCTTGATATAAGGAAAGTGAGCGAATCTTGCTAGGCAACCACTTGTTTTTGCATGTCAAGGGGCTGTGTAATCATCATATTGTTTTAAAGAATAATTTTGATTAAAATATTTTTAATGTGTAATATTTTCAGTAATTAAGCGTAAGTTGATATCTTTTATCTTGTATTTTATACTGATTATGCTTGTTTAAATGTGCTTACTCCCAGCATGACTAATGTATGTATATATGGTTATAATATATCATATAAAGTGGAATCTCATTTATCTGCACATTTCTGTTCCAGATAAAATTGTGTAGTTTAACAAATTTCTGAATAGCTACAAATGACAACTATGACAAATCTTCAGAATTATTGTGTAATTATTGTTGTAATCAGAGCTTCACGCTGTGTGATCATCAGACAACTGACCTATTTCAGTCTTATGTCCCCACTCAAGTTTGACAAGTAGCACTTGTTCTGGTGTCTGTACTGCAATAAATGTTTGGATGGTTTGTTTAAAGAAATGTGCTTTTCATATAGATATGTTATTTCTATTAATTAGTCATTATATTCTGTTTTAACTTATTAAAGCTTCTGTGGTTAGGATTATGTTCAGTTCTACTTAATTTGCTTCGAATTTTTCCAACTCTATTTCAGTTTATATTAATGGTCTTTTTTTTATTTATTTTTTATGTAAATATCATAAAAGGTGACATCCCACTCATTGATTCCGATAATAAATCAAAATAACATAGATTTTATTTTTTAGATGCTCTAGCAATTGCTTTAATAGCTTTAGATTAAATTGTTACACTATTTGATGCAGAATTTTCTCTTGTTATTTTATACATTGTATGAAACATAATTAACTTTTAATGTCTTAAATTGAATTACATGTATACTTACAGCAGATGTACCGGTATGTCTAAAGGCTTGTGAATGATACATTTTCCATCAGCTAATTTTTATGCTTTGTGTGCAAGCAGTCAAAAACAGTAATGGCTTTTTATGCTTAGTGTGTTTTTAGCTTTGTTGGTAAATTGAATTTAATCATTAGTTTTACTAAGACTCTGTACTGTGTTGGAGCTGAATTATTTTCTCAGAATTAACAGTGGTCATATGAAACACTGTTCTTGTATTAATTAATATACAGCAAGTTTGGGATTGTTTAGCACAGTCAGTAAGAGCGTTGGTTCTTTGTCATTAGCTTGGTTACATAAAGCAAATGGTGACTGTGGGTTCTGATATCAATCAGCATGTGGAAATCTGATGACCTTAAATAAGTGATCTACACTCAAATGGCCTTGCACATGTACTAGCTAATAGAAAGAATCCTTAATTGTGAACCTAAGTTATTTATCCTTGTAAAATATTGTTATTTCTTTCTTTTCTCTTTGATGTTTAAAACGGTTCCTCGGTAGTCAAGCAAATGATTTTCACAGTTCAGGATTCAAATTTCCAAATATCACCAATCAAATAAAAAATCAATATCACATATTGATTAGCATAAATCAAAAAAAGAGAAATCTGGTTTTTAATCTGGATTATCTATATTAATGATGTAAGAGACAAGGTCACCTTAATCCTCTTATTAGGTTAAAATTAACTCATATTTTGCCTTTTTATGTCCTTGTGTACATGTCATATACTTTACTTCTTCACAGTTTTGCTGAAATAGCATGTGGTTGGAGGTTTTTTACTCTTTTTTTAAAGGACTAGATTAGTAATATCTACAATAGAGAGTAGATAGTACACTATGATAACTGGATTTATGTGATTAAATGTAGTTCAGTTATATGTAGTTAAAAAATGTTTTTGTACAAATTGTTGCCGCATGCTGAATTAGGAAAACCCCCTACATCTTTAAGTGGAGGTGTGTATTGACTTTATGGAGATATTATTTTAACCTCCAACATGTAATTTTAAAGTTTTTTGTTTTAATCATTTTTAAGGTTTAACATATTGTGCAGCAAGTGGATATCTTGTCACTAAGACTAATAATCCCTGCACCATCATTCAGTATTTCCAGTCAGTAGTTACATTGGAATACAGAATAGCTATTGAACTTGACATTCTCTACATTTACTCTCTAGTATAGTAATAAGATTGGGAAATAAATCCTCTACCAAAAAGACTTAGTGATGAAAATATAAATTATAAATCTCATGTAAAAAAGGTGTTTTAAGGACATTTAATCCTTTGAATTACTGGTACATGCTTGAACCTTTTTTGTAGAAAAAATACCGATACATACTAGAGGAGGAAAGAAACAGATTATACCAGTAAATGCATGTGATCTAGGTTCAGTTGATGTAGTGGGAGACGAGGAAGATGGGGGAATACGACCAGCTCATCAAAATACAGGGCCATCTAAAATACAACGGCATCCAGCATTTCTACCAGGTATATAGTTAGATCCCCAGATATGTCAATAAATTTTTGCAAATTCAGGTGGAATTCAATAGATAGTGGAATAAAAAGAAATTAAAATTATACAAAAATGGCAAAAAATGAAGAGGGACTGCTGGTAGTGATGTTTTGAATTGTATGGGAAATGCTCAAATATCTTGACTATCTTGACACCTATTAAAGTACATGTATTTATTTATTTGTTGAAATTATCCTCTGCTGAATACTTGTTTGTAAAATGTAAACACTTTCCTGCAATGTTATTGCATCTTCATAAAAACAATTATTTTTCATTTATTGGCAAATCAATTTTTTTATTACTGGTACTCTTCGAAATAAGGATACCGAGGTCAAGTCAGGATCATATTCAGAATTTATTATATTATGTTATAGGTGATAGGGTTATATTTGCTGAGAGTCCGTCTGCTCCTGGTATACCAGTAGTGTATAGAACATCAGAAGAAAGAACAACTAATCCTGATCGACTCAATTTAGACAGGTAAGATTAATATCAATGTATTTTTTTAACCCACATCACTGTTTAATTTTATGTTGGAGGTCTATATCAATACAAAGAAAATACTAGAACCATGCTATGTTAACGTGATACATTGGTGAAATGTTGCATTTTTATACGCCAACATGAATATGTGGTCGTATATTGTCGTTGCCCCTGTACGTCGGAAACATTTCTTGTGAGCACTATAGAGACTACAGTTTTTATCTGATTTTGATAAAACTTGGTGTGATGCTTTAGATTGATAAGATCTCGGTCAAGTTCGAATTTGACATATTTTCGATGAACGGTTTTTGAGATATTGCCTTTGACTTAGAACGCCTTGAAATTTGTTAAAAATAGTTCGTGAGCAGGATTGAAGCTACAGTTTTCATCCGATTCTGATGAAACTTGTTTTTGATCATTGGAATTGTTTAAGATCTTGGACAAGTACTAATTTGATGCATTTTCGATGAACGGTTATTGAGTTATTGCCCTTGACTTTGTTAAAACGCTTCGAAATTAGTTAAAAATAGTTCGTGAGCAGGATTGAAGCTACAGTTTTCAACTGATTCTGATGAAACTTGGTGTGATCATTGGAATTGATCTCGGACAAGTTCTAACTTGACGCATTTTCGATGAACGGTTTTCGAGTTATTGCCCTTGACTTTGTTAAAACGGGTCAAAATTTGTTAAAAATAGATCGTGAGCAGGATTGACGCTACAGTTTTCAACCGATTCTGATGAAACTTGGTGTGATCATTGGAATTGATAAGATCTCGGACAAGTTCTAATTTGACGAATTTTCGATGAACGATTTTTGAGTTATTGCCCTTGACTTTGTGAAAACATGTCAAAATTAGTTCGTGAGCACAATAGAAGCTACAGTTTTCAACCGATTTTGATGAAACTTGGTGTGATCATTGGAATTGATAAGATCTCGAACAAGTTCTAACAAGAAACATGTCAAAATTAGTTCGTGAGCGCTATAGAAGCTACAGTTTTCAACCGATTCTGATGAAACTTGGTGTGATCATTGAAAATGGTAAGATCTCTGACAAGTTCTAACTTGACGCATTTTCGATGAAAATTTTTTGAGTAAATGCCTTAAATTAAAGCACAATAGAAGCTACAGTTTTCAACCGATTTTGATGAAACTTGGTGTGATCATTGGAATTGATAAGATCTCGAACAAGTTCTAACAAGAAATATTTTTGATGAACATTTTTTGAGTTATTGCCCTTGACTTTGTAAACATGCGTCAAAAGTTTTTTTTTGCCCTTGATTAGAGCTGTGTGATTTAATTGTTTGTTGTATTTGGGTTATTGATAAATTATTGATTTTAAAAAATTTTGTGGAATTATTCAGCATAAATAATTTCTTCAATATGAGAAAATTCGTACTTTAGTCACTAAAGACTTTTATTATTTCTGACAGCTGCCAGTGGGCGTATGTTACCTTGCAACGCAAGCTATCTTTGAGTTATTGCCCTTGACTTTGTTAAAACACGTTGAGCAGGATTGAAGCTACAGTTTTCAACTGATTCTGATGAAACTTGGTGTGATCATTGAAATTGATAAGATCTCGAACAAATTCTAACTTGATGCACTTTCGATGAACGGTTTTTGAGTTATTGCCCTTGACTTTGTAAAACGCTTCAAAATTTGTTTGTGAACACAATACAGACTACAGTTTCATCCGATTTAAATGAAATTTGATATGATTATTTTTAATGATGAGATCTTAGTCAAGATTATATGTGACAATTTTTCAATCAACGGAATTTGAGTTATTGCCCATGACTTAGTAAAAATGCATCAAAATTTCTTAGCGTTAGAGGTGACAGTTTTTGTCAGAATTTTATTGAATAATGTGTGTTTGTTTAAATCAACAATATCTTGAACAAATTAGATTTTTGGTATTATTTGACACAGATAGGTGACTGCCCTTGATATACTGAAAATGTATCAAGAAAGTGGGCGTATCTTGCTAGGCAACCACTTGTTTGAAAGTAGAAGGTCCAAACAAATGTAACTTTTCACTAATTGTCCCAAGTAGTGAGGTATTTATATGCAAAACTTGTTGGGTGACAAATCCAAACTTTGCGAGTTACAACAATTGCAAATATTTAAAGTAAAGTTAAATGTAACCTGGACGTTCAAAGAACGCACTGTGAAAAAGAAAATTGAATAGCTCAGTTAGTAGCAAGTTGCATTTTTGTCTGCTAGGCTATTAGGTGCTGTGGGTTGCAATCCCCCACAAAGATAGAAAAATTCTGATGCTACGGCCAGTGCTTCTGAGAATCAGCCCTGTTTCAACTTTCAACATCCCATCACCAATTCTATAATGCAATGATTATGTGGCTCTTAATATAAGTGTATTCTATACTTTTTATGCCATGTTGTATAGAACTGCAGAACAGAAAATGGTCATTATACATTTCAGACGTAAATTAAAGATATGTCCTATATTAGAGGGAGAAGAACAGCTACGTCTGTTGAACTATCAACATAACTACATCTCTCAAATACAACATCTGAGTACTTTAAAACGTCTTATATTCCTAGATCTTTATGATAATCATATAGAGGAAATAACAGGATTAAATTCATTAAGATCTCTTCGTGTTTTAATGTTGGGTAAAAATAGGTGAGAAAAATTTACTTAATATCAATGTAAAAATTAGTTATTTGGATTCTAAACATTTTTTTCAAAACGTGACAAACCCACTCACCATAGTATTTGTTTTTGTGAATTCTAGTAACTCTAATTTGTAAATATGAACAAGGTGCTAAGGAAAAAGTGGTCAAGATGTGTAGAGTTAGCTCCCCTGTAGCTGTGCTTTTCATACAAATTGTATTCTCATTTCAGTCTCTCACTTAGCACAATACCATCAGGATGAAATGGAAATCGTTTTGTCTTTGACCTTTCATGTTTTTTGTTTCAGAATAAGAAAAATTGAAAATTTAGAGGCTTTAACTAAACTGGATGTTTTAGATTTACATGGTAATCAGGTTAGTTGAAAATTCTTGCATGAAGGTTAAGATTACTCTCCTGTCACAGCTTAAAATTCATTGTTTTTTTAATTGATATGGTGAATTACTATTGTACCATTATATTGTAGATTCAGATAATTGAAAATCTATCATTACTCTGTGAATTACTATTGTACCATTATAATGTAGATTCAGATTATAGAAAATCTATCACATCTTGGTGAATTACTATTGTAACATTATATTGTAGATTCAGATAATTGAAAATCTATCATTACTTGGTGAATTACTATTGTACCATTATATTGTAGATTCAGATTATAGAAAATCTATCACATCTTGGTGAATTACGGGTATTGAATTTAGCTGGTAATCAAATAGTACATGTTGATAATATCAGTGGCATGGATGCTTTAGCTGAATTAAATCTTCGTAGAAATCAAATACAAACTGTGGTATGTATATTTTCAACATGTCAATGTCTGTTTCCCTATTTACTTCATATGCATTCTTCTGTCATAGTCCATTATTTTGATTGGCTACTAATGAATTTTCTTAACAAAGAACAAATACAATTTAAAACTTGCAATATTCAGTCATTTTGGTGATTGACCAGATAATCAGGCTATAGATCCTTCTTCAGCCTGTCTAGGCTGATGATTATCCATATCCATTACAGCTGAGTTTATGAAAAATTAGTATAAAACAAAATATCTCAATCTTTCATGTAGCTATGGTATCTGTTTTCCCTATGTAGCTTTTCAATAAACATCATATGATTAAATCATTCTAACTAACTAAACTGGCTCAAATTACAATTACAACAATGTCCCAATTTTTTGTGAAGACTTTTCCTATTATTTCTGCCCAGTATGATATCCGTATTGACTTCGTTATTTTTACAGATAGATGTTGATAATTTACCTAATTTACAGAGGTTATTTCTGAGTATAAATGATATTAGTTGGTAAGTATTTATATTTTCTTCTATTTGGTCTGGTAAGAGAAATATTTATAGATTTCTCCAATGCATCATACTGTTTCTATTTTCTAGTTTTGAAGATATACAGTGTTTAAGTGAATCACATTGTTTATCTGAAATATCACTAGATGGTAATCCACTGTGTCAAGATCAGTATTATAAACAAATTATATTGAGAAATATGCAGCAGTTAAAACAACTTGATATGAAGAAAGTCTCAGTAAGTAACATGAACACACAACATAATCTTAACTATCTATACATGTATAAATGATACCAAAGAACAGCCCTGTAGATTGCAAGGCAGAAATAAATAGTGTTGCTGTTCCCTTTCTACTATATGTAATATTCATGTTAATTTTGTTATGACTATTAGCTCTAGATTTCTTTGGGTTATCAAAATAGAATAAACACTGATCGTACGATTGATATTGTAGGAGGAAGAAAGAAGAATAGCTTTAGTTATGGCTAGAAAAGAAGCTGAGAAGAGAAGGGAGAGTAATAAAATAGCTATTATGAAGGTCAGCTTTTGAATGAAATATTTCTTATTCGAGTTAATTAGGCTTTACCAATTAATTTTTCATTCTTTATCAAGATTGATAATCATTTGAGATGTTCTCAAGATGCAGCCATATAATATTTGGCAAAATGAGATGCCATCTTTGCAGGTGTTGTGCATCGAACTGTAAGACACTTTGTTTCTATCTTGAATGATCCATAATGATTATTTGATCCATTTCATATCTCCTCATTGATTTTGTGATCTCTTTTAGGAGAAGCGTAGAATAGCTATATCTGGGGTGAAAAGAAATTGGGAGTTAAAACAAGGATCTCATATAGCTAAAACTGGGAGTTTAATACGAACATCTCCTATGCCGGAATTATTTGCAAACCATATTGGTACACTAAAGAATAGTGATATATTATTTCACAATGATAAAGATGATAGTGAATCAGTCTCTAGGTATGGGAATCCTATATTATGTATGTATGTATGCATTTAATATTATTTGAGCTTGACCTCAAACTAAAACAGCTTAGACCTTGACCAGATATTGGTTTAAAGCTGAATGCTTTTATAATTTGTTATATAGCACCTTTTAGAGCAAAATATTCCAGAAAAATAAACTATAAACTATATCCTTCATGATTTAATGAGAAGATAAAAAAAACTGGTTTAATTTGATACAAATATTTCTAAAATCACAGTTGAACACTACAGAAGTTTTTTTTGAATGTTACTGAGAAATAAAGTCAAGTCAAGAACTCATTTGCTTTAAAATTTAAAACAATGTTTGGTGAGTTTGCATTATTTTATTTTAAACTGAATTCTAATAAATGGCATCATGTGTAAAGTATACATTATTATTTTAGTGAAAAGAGAAGTGTCAAATCATCCAGACCAGAAAGTGCTCACAGTAATTTAACAGAGTTTTCATTTGATAGTTCTTCTGCAGTTACTAATGAAAGACCCAAGACATCTACTAAGAGACCAGAAAAACCACCTCCTTTAAAAGAAACAGTTGTTTATAGGTCAGATTAGTAATGTTTATTTAGCTTAAATCATGAACATTTAAATTTTTCAGTTGTCAGTTTGGGTAGTTTAGTAGGAACTATTGGAATTTGTAAAGAATCTTTTTTATTGCAGTCAAAAGAGTGGTATTACTAATATTGATAAAGGTATAAGTGAGTATGCTGAATTAGATGGTGATACTTTTACTCTATATGGACATCAAGCCCTAGAGAATTTAGAAAGAAACTGGGGAATTCAGGCAGCAGGATCAATTACTACTATTGTATTTAAATTTGTAGACTTTGAACATGTTGCTAAAATATTACACAAAATACGAACCAGATTTCCAGCTACGCAGGTATGTATCAAACTGATTCCACAACCTGTGATTTCTAGAGTATGCTCATTGTCATCACACCTTATACTAGTTCCTGTAGGTTCCCTTGATAAAGTACATACACAAATTCAGATTTTCATAAAAGATCAACATTGAAAAATAAGATTGATTGGCTAGTCCAATGCTGCAAGCTGTCAGCAAGCTCATTAAACGATGGGTTATGTGTCTTCAATATTATTTTTATGCTTTTTGAGAAAGACAATATCTTTAATTTTAGACACTGGTATTTAGTGCTACAAATATCCACAGTTTACAACAAATTAATGCATTATCTCATGTAAGAAGACTGGATAATTTGACTATAGATCTAGATGGAAATCCAGTTACTAAATTTACATTATGGAGAATGTATACTATCTTTCGTTTAGCTCATTTTTCATTGAAGAAAATTAATGACATAGAGGTAGGTTAGATTTGTTACATCTTTGAACATAGATATAAAAATGATACCTACCAATAGTCTTCTTTATGCCTTATTTAACTTATCAGGTTACAGGTAAAAAATACACATTTTGAATATTTTGGCATTTTATAAAGAATTACATTGGTACTCTTTAATATTTGCTCTCCATAATAGTTCCTTTTTTTCCCTCCCCCATGTCTGACATCGAGTTTTCATTCTAAAGAGCTAAATTATTTTAGATCTATATCCATGTAAAGAGAGCTTTATTTATATTATAGGTCAGTCCATCAGATATAGTAAATGCTGAAAAATTGTTTGGACCCTTGTCTCATATTACCACATCTCAACTACCACAATCTCGATTATTATCTCTTCTTGGTGAAACTAGGTTTGTATTCAAATACATTCTTTGTAGGGGTTTCAGAGATAAATACATGGTACTGTGGTTTACTACTTTCTATAACCTACAGCTGCTAATATTGTTGCCAGGGCCCTCAGTGTTGTGTAATTTGAAGAGAAAGGATCATAATGCATATTTCATAATGATAATTATTTCAAGAGACAAGTCCCAATACTCGTAACAATGATCTTATTCCAATACCATTAGAGTAAAATAGAATAGTGACTTTTCTAGGTCACTTGCCTTGCTCTCAAACTTTCCCTATCAATTACCATGGACATGTCATTATAAGACTAAAATCATCCCTTATATTGTGATCTGAATAGATCAGTTGAATATGAGCTTGAGAAATTTCTACCAGTAGACCAGCATTTTTTGATTTCAGAAAAAAACAGTTGGTAGCTTTAAGTGAAGATAAAAATAGAAAAGGTGATAAACATGCTGAGAAAGCTCAAGGAGAATTTGTAGGTAGAGCTGGTTTGACCTATCAGAGTGCTGATAATCTTACAAAACAACAGGTACACACTTTTTACTTATTTAAAAATTGCTATGCAGAGTTTTCAGCAATAAACATGGCTTCTACTCATTCTAGTAAAAAAAAAAAAAAACTAGGTTGAAATAAGGCAATCTTTTGACTTGATCAAACCTCTGTCAATTTTTTTGTCAACATCCTTACATGGAAGTAATTGTCTGAAAGAAACAAAAGCTGATATAACCAGACATTTTTCAATGGCCTGGAAATCTGATCTCAAATTCCCTTGCCTTGAGAGGTCTATGTCATACCAGTATTGGAATGATGTTTGGCAAAAGAGAGGTCAACTGTGTCATTTTACAAACAGGTCTTCTACTTTATCACTAATTATATTTACTCTGCAAGGCTATCAAAATATGTTAAAAATTTTGAAATAATATTGGGTCACCTTGTCCTTTGCAACTTCTGCATTTTGCTCTATATGATTGGAAGTGAAATCATTTTATCTGTTGCCTTTCAGTTACCTTTGTTTGGTCTTCCTGATGATTGCTATAATTAACTTTGAAATGTTAGACCACTTAGATACTTCTGACAATGTTTTTAACAGAATGACCCATCCTAAACAATTCCAAAATCAATAGATGATAATAATATTCAATGCAGTGCTCCAGTAGCTTATTGTATAGTATTGAGTTTCTATATAGAACTTCAACTTCAGTTGAATATTTTAACTTTTAACAAATTTTGCATTGGTATGTTTTTTCAATTTTTCAGGAATCAGAAGGAAAGAAGAAAATAGCTAAAAATTTCATCAATGAATTTTCTAAAGAGACAATATTTAACAATAAGAAACAATCTGAATTTCAACGTTTATGGTCTGTGATATTTTATGAAATGGTGCAGTCAGCATTAGGTGATATGTCTAATATGAGAGAGTATATGAAAAATTGTATGGAGATGTGCGAAAATAGTTAGAAGTACACAAAAACTTCAGTTCATTATTATGCCTGTTTTTTTAAATGAAATATAATAAGCCAATAGTATTAATGATCTTGACATTTCAAAACATGGATATGTCCTGGACAATTTCAAATTGTGAAAGGGTCTTGGACTTGTCCTTGATATGAATTAACCTTCTGACTACATTAACTAAGGTAGAATTTTGACATCCAATGAATTCATATGGCTTAGTGATCTAACTTTATGGTATTTCAATTATTTAGTTCTTGTGACTACACAAGGAGCCAATGTCAATTAGTGTTGTTTGACTCCATTCTTTGTCTAACTCCAGAGCCAGCAAGTGTAACTATTTTGTTTGTAAATAAGAGTACTTTTTTTTTCTAGCTTTTTGACTGTCAGCTCAACTTGATTTGTGTTTCAACTTTGATCTCAACTTTATATCCTTTTGTCACTATGCAATAAATCTTAAATTATTTCAAGACTTTTACTGCTATCGCCCTACTTCGTCTTTCAACATTTCGTGTGAACAAGATAGATGTTAGTTTTTATCCAATTTAGATCAAATTTTGTATACTTGTGAGAATGTGAGGATTGATAAGGTCAGAGTTTTTACCAATAACTTTGTGAAAAGAGTACAAATTAACTTATTGGTGCAATAAACCAGTATACTCAGAAGGAGGCTCATATTGCAAAGAAAAAAAAAGGTAAAGCATATCACTACAGTGAAACTGTCTACTCAAACAACTTTTAATCCAATCCTTTTGAACTCAAAACTACTCATATTTTACATCATTATGAACCTATTTAATGACACTTTCAGATGAAGTTTACTTTCAGCAGTTTTAAGCACATTTCCTCACCGTTGATCAGTCACATAGGCTATTAATTCAAATGACGTAACCATCTTAGTTTTCAGTGACTCAATGGTTCGAATAAAGACAAAAGAAGCTAGAGTTTTTTTTTTTAACCCTTTTTAAATGAAATGTAGATTAAGCAGATCTTGATATTCATCTGATTAAAAGTCTTTAAGACAATGAAATGCATTATATTATTTTTCTCTGGAAAATGACTTCTTAGCAATTGGCTAATCTTGCTCAAGCGAATGCAAGTCATTCAGCAATCCTGCATGGATTAATCACTGACATCAACAAAAAATATACAATATATACAAGGATTACTGTTTATTAAAGACCAACAAAATAATGTGAAAAAAGATGGTGGTTACATAATAAATAAAATATTGGAATAATAGGTTTTAGTAGTTGGAAATACAAGTCCACAATACAACATAATGCCTCTTGATGACACCCTAATGATGTAATGACCAGAATGATTCCACACAAGCCTAAAAATATAACGACTTGCCTGTCAATTGTCTGGCAGTTGTCAAGTCTTGCTCATAATGTCATCACAATAATAGCAATCTACATAAGCTTGACACTAAATCTAATCAACTGTCAAACGATCATCTTCAACTTGACTATCAAAATGAAAGTTGTTACAATATGTGATAGGCAGATATTTTCAAGCATGTTTACAAAAAAAGGTCTGTTCCTTGATTGTAAAGGAGCAACTATTAACAATGTAAAGGCATGGAGGGCCTCATGATTTGAAATAGCTTCTACAACATTACACTAATAAATCTACTAAAAATTTAGTTATATATTTAGTTTATCTGAAAATTGCATTGAGACTATATAAGGCAAAACTAAGCAGTGCATTTTTTAAGCAGACTATACAATTATAAATATGAACACAAATTAGGGGAAACTTGGTACCAACTAATAGCTGTTAATTCTTAACCATACTACTGTTAAATGAGACAATTCATTGAATATCACAAGACATAATGGCTTAAGAGCAGCACATTTAGCACTGGGCAAGTACCTGTGATTAAATGAAAAACAAGATTTCTTTCTCAACAATTCTAAACTATTGCACTAAGTCTACCCTACCAATACTTCCTCTTACAATATAGTTGATATAAAATAAAATATATACAATTTAATTTAATTCAAATTAGCTATATACAACAATCATCATTTAGAACATAATTGCTGGCTTCTTATTTTTCAAGACTTTTTTTTTACTTATTTTATACATGTAGCAAGAAAAGATGCGAGATTTAAACAAAAAGCTACATGACACAGACGGAAATAGTGACAAAGATGAAATTGCTACCAAATACGTCTTTCCCAAGTGATATTATTAAAAATGTTAATATAAAAGGTTACATGGAAGGAATTTTGAAACAAACAGTAAATCGTTATACATGTAAATTCATTTTGTCAAGTGAAGTAGGGTACTCAAAACAATTCTCAAAACAAAATGGATACTTCCTGTTGCTAAGACAACAGACTATGTATTGAGCAGTATACAGATATGACTAAGGTTTTAATCAAGTTTAGCATCATTTACAACTCTTCTTACAGCTTCATCAGTTAACATGTCTTGACCAGCTTCTTGTGCTTAAATAACAAACAAATTATTAAGGAGACTTTATAAGTCAATTATTTCAGAATTCCTGAAAACATGTCACACTTGTAGCACAATAATAGACCATTTACTTGACCAATCATACTTGAGTCTCAGAAACCGGATTTTTTAAAGCCAAGCCAATCAGAAATATTATTTACAGCCCAGCCTAATAATTTGAGCCATCAAATCTATGTGTGTCCGGAATTGTCCGTGTTTGAAAGTTAGACAAGTCGTCATTTCTCAAAAGAAAATTCTTAGTTTGAGATATTTTTGAAGGAATTATGCAATTATCGTAAATTTCTACTTTTTCAGAAGACCATTTACATCATAATCACCGACCCCACCCCCCAACAATTGGGTATTGAAATCAATTTGAAATTTGCAAAAAACATTTTACAATGTACAACAGGTTTAAGCTTTTCCCTTAACAGAGCAATTGGCATTTTATATATATATAGATTTTTTCATAGTGTATGGAATCTCCATTAATTAAATGGATTCAACTTTAAGAGTATATGTCAAGCATTTACAAACTGCATTGGAGTAGGTATTTAGATACTAAACTTTTGTTTTTCAACATTTAATAATTTCAAAAGAACAGAGTATCTTGAAACAATTTTTTCAAATCAAGGGATGAAATTTTCTTAACAAGGATTTATAGCAAGGAAGCTTTCAGAATGGGGAAAACTGCATATTTAAAGAGGTTCAAAACAAGTGCACCCTTCTCCCAACTTAAATCAACAAAGTGGTAAACAACTTAAATCTAGAAACTTGAATTCTTAAAATATGAACAGAATTTATTTAACAAAATAAAACAGAAAATACTTTAATGAAGAAAGTAGATATTTGTTCCCACTTTAAATCTGACAGAAATCTTGAAAGAGTGTAGAATTGGACATGCTGTGATACCTTTCAATCCCAGGATGGCTGAGATTACCAACTTACCCTCACTTAATTGTTTCTTGGCATATCCAAACACTATTAAACACACATTAAATAGAATTAGTAAGATACGTGAGCTTGGTCCCCTCCCTAAATACTCTTTTGTAACATTAACATGAAATTAATCATTCATCTTCATTCTAGGTAAAGGTTTTGGACTTCTAGAGTCAAAGACTTTAAAGAGGCCTTCTGCTTTTTTTATAAAAAATTTTCAATGTCAAAAAAGTAAATAGTACCTAAAAATATTTCTAAAGTATGTTCTTTATATAGATCTATGTATCTACTTGAATTTGAATTTGTTTGAAAAGGGTTAATTCAAAACAGAGAGTACTAATTGTTAATTGATCAGTTTAACTTAGTTTGCTGTTTGGCTTTATAAAGGCTTTATTATTAGTTGAAACCAAAAGAATACGTAGGATTCATATTTCTCTACAATTAGGGATTTGGACCTACAAAAATAAAGCAGAATGTCCCTTTAATAAGAGTAGAGTATCCAGAGAAATCACTTTTAACATAGATAACCGATGTAAGTCAAGATTTCAAGTCATTCAAGAAATTTTATTTTAAGTTTCAAGGATTTTGAAGTAAGAACGAAGAGGAATACATTTTTTACATCAGTGGCTCATTTAAAAGGCTTAATTAAAAGATTTTGCATTCAAATAGAAGTGAGAGTCAAATAAGATTTCAAAAGAGATATTTGGTAATAGCTTATGCTGCAAGTTACATTGCATGTCAGATGAAATAATAAAGCTGCCTTAATTTAGAGTTTAAATCAAATCTACCCATACCTTTACTTTTATGATACTCATCTAAGGCTTAAATACAAAGCTTTAAATTGTCAAAATAACTTAACACTTTAATTAATGCAGAAATTTGGGTGAACACAAAAGAAAGACTAAAAAAAAAAAAAAAGAATTGTTGAAAAGCTTCCAAGCATTATCTAGTACTTGAACACCCTAAAACTCTCACTTCATTATACTTTAAGATATGAAGATAGATTTTATATCTATTCCTTTAGCGACATTTAGGGGTAGAGATCACATTAAATAACGGAACACAATTTCATGGTATACTACTCCTTAGTTTTATTACACACTACGTTTCAACAAGTGAAGTGAAGTGATGTGACCTGAAGATGACAATGTAGATTGTTGAAACGTAGTGTGTAATAAAACTAAGGAGTAGTATCCATGAAATTGTGTTCCGTTATGTAAGATTTTATGTTTGAAAGTTTAGTTTCCATAACTATTTATTTAACATAAATAATGATCCGGACGAAAACACTTGTCACTGTTAAAAGGATTGTAAAAAATGTTTTCTAAAATTTTCATTTGTATAGGTAACCCTGATAGTATTGATTCCACCATTCCAATTGTCAATCAGACGTATGAAGTTCTTGTAAATCCACTTAACCAATGCATTTCATAACTTCACTATCGCAAAGGTCCTTTAAAAATCAATGGCAGCTTTTGCGAAAGTGAAGTCATAAATCCCTAACTTTTAGTGGAATTCCAAGAGTCACAGATGTCTGACTGAAGATTGGAATGGGGCAAATTGATTATATCTACCTTCTTTCATGGCATCCTTAGCTTCATCTAAAGCTTTATCTATTTTATCTTGATGTCTCAACACAAATGGTCTGATAACTTTATTGTAAATAGTGTCTGAACCATTACATGGAGCTGGTACCATACACCACACCAAGAATATACACTGAAATTGAAACATTAATATTTAATGCCTATTTTGAGCTGAACACAATTTGCTTTTTCTTAAGACTCCTGTTAGTTTGTTTACTTGGAATCTTTAATGTTCTAACATTGAGTAACACCAGTAAGAGCAACCAAGATCTATGACTGATTAATATCCTAATTAGTATCAAGTTTTCCCCTTTTCAAAAAGAAATTGCAGTTCAGTATGCTCAAGTTCCGGAGATTAATAGTAAAAAGTTTGACATCTACCTTCAACAGCCAGTAGAAAGGAATCCAGAAGAGGAAAATATCAGCAAAAAATTCCACTAAACTGAATGCACCATATACTACCCAGTATGTTAACCACTGTGTATCATCATCTTTCTTTGTACTTTCTATAGCTTTAAACCTACAATATTCATATTTTATCTACATATCTGCAGTACGGTATATTCGTGACTGAACTGAGAAAACACTACATACATCTTTAGAGGGAGGGAGATGGGTTAGTTTTAAATGAAATGAAATAAATGGAGTTTTACGTCCTACTCTTCTGCACCTTGTGGGCTAATGAAGATGGTGGGTTAGTTTTAAAATCAGTAGTATATTCTTATAATGTCAAGACATAAGTTACCAATTAAAAACCTCACTTCTTCAATATTTTGTCACTTTGAGCAAGTGGCATAATTGTTTAGTCACATAAATAACAATTAACTTCCTCATTTAACATTCAACAGAATTTATGCACCAACCCTTTTAAAGGGATTGAAAAGAGATTTCAAGACTTTGTGTATAGGGGACACCTTTGACTTCTATTTTGGGACATTCCAATTCTTCGTCCAATGCCTGTGGTTCCTGCAATTCCAGAAAGAGTTAACTGGAAATTACCCATGAAACAACTCTTCCATTCCTTAAAACTAAGCACTAAAAGACGTAGATTTCCATGTGGGCGTATAAAAAGACTAGAAAACCTCTCAACAATCCTTTTAATGATTAACTTCTGTACTATGTGCGTTGTAATCTGATTGCAAAATTGCCACTTCCAATGTCAGATACAGTACTATAAAGCTTATAAAGAAATCCTATACAACATGTACTAAAGTTGACTCAGATTACTTCTTTTTATAAATGGCATTTCTAAATATATCCTCTTGATATCTTTTGTTCAATTTTAATACAAGATTGTAATAACCATAGTAAAACCTTAAAAGCAGAGATGAAAACTGAATGTAATATACTCACGAAGCGTAAGCTGGATATAAAAAGCCTATGAAATTACATAAGAACTGTGCACCATAGCCAATCATCAAGTACAGAGCAAGTAGAACGACAATTCCTGGAAGTAAAAATATTACAGTTTCAATGACAAGTCAATGTCAGATTGTATTTAAAACTGATTAATTAAAGTTTTAAATTTACTCAAAGGTTTTCATGTTCCTGAATACTGTGTTTCAGTGGATAATATTTTTATTTTCTAAATTCCCAGGCATAAATGAAAAGATTTATCATGTTTCGTTAGGCTATGATGATAATCTTTCTAGGTAATAATAGATTTATAAGTATTTAGAAATATGAAACAGACTATAGCCACTAATTATCTCCACATCATTACTCTCAGGTCTAATAAATTCAACATTGACCTCATATTGCATGTACATATTTATATCATACAATAAAAGCTGTAAATAAACATTTTTTAAACTGGTACATTTTTATTCAGTCACATGCTGACCTAGTTGTAGTCTCTATATGATATATTTACATGCCTGATTGAAGTTAGAAAAATTATTAATGTCAGTCTATGTGTTTGCACAAAATAGTAAAGAAAATAAAAAACTCAAATTCATAAATATTTCAAATATTTTAAGCTACCAGTCCCCCTTGTAATGTTCGTTGTGAGTTAAAGCTGATGGTATTATATAAGCAAGTCGTAAGCTAACCTTAGACTCTGTAGGCTTTGTCAACTACCAGGGCAGAAATACCATTTTCAGTATAAGTCATGAAAGATATCATTCTATAACACCAGCAAGAATGTTAAAAAAGCTCTGGTTGTGACAAAAGTAATCAATTCACCTGTTCAGAACTGCAAATGGCAGAGAGCCCTGGTGGGTTTTTCATATTCGGTATAATATATACTATAATTATATGAGATCACACCAATAAAATTGCCTCTGTGGTAAAAATTGACAAAGCAAAAATAAGGCCATGTAAACCAATCAAAATTATTGCAACTGTCAACCAAATTAAGCCCACTGCAACTGGCTATCAGCAACCTTCCGTGGAAATGAATACCAGTCATCTCGGTGATATGTCAACCCAGAGACAGTTAACTAGGTAACAAACTCGAGTTAATTCGGCGACAAATTGAAAGTTTTTTCCGTTCTGAAGAACAGTTGCAGTTATTAGCCAAGGTGAAGACATGGTATATAGATGCAACGTTTAATGTTGTAAAATTACCACAGCATTTCCCGATATTCAGATCAGGGGCTGTGGGTTTCACTGGGCTCAGACAGTCTTCCGTAAAATTCAAGAATTAGGATTGGAAACTGCATACCATCAACGCGATAGTTTGTCCCAGAGTTAACCAACAAAAATTTGTCGCTGAGTTGACATGTCATCGAGTTAACCGAATACCGTGGAAATGACCTACACAACTGAGTTGATATCTCAATTCATGTTTAAATATGATGAGCAAAATGTGATTCTCCAAACATTCTGTTCACTCAATATTCATATATAATATACTGCTGAGACAAATGGCAAACAAGACAAATAAATTGCTGAGCTGATGACCATTGTGTGGGCCAACCTTTAGACCACTGCACTGACTGACTGAAAAGAGGACAGCCAATAATTCTAATAATAGCCAATATAGGCTTTATAGTAAATTAAAACTTGTCCATGACAGAACATATTATATCAGATCATGAACTAATAGACATAGTAGGGTACTAGATTATAGAAATATAAGGCAGACAAGTGGGGTCTACGTGCGACTCTCTTATAAATATGAAATAGTTCTATCTTTTGCTGTCATACTGACGACTACTCGGACTACACCGCGTATGCGGTTCAGTAACGTTGCTGTTGTGATCTTCTAGATTGGCATCATGTAATTAAAATTGCACTCTAAATTACCAAAGGCGAAGTATATTCTTTTCACTCCTGTCTTCTGCTCCATTTTTTCCAACAAATTCGTGAATGCATTCTTCTCGTGAAGAAACTTTTCAAGTTTTGCTTTCCACGTCTCCATATTCTTTGCAACTCCGGACGCCATCTTGTCGGATCAGTTCTCAACAGAAAAATAATGTAGACTGGATTAGACTGTCTCTAGCTAACGCAACACTTTTATTTATTTCAATAAAGACAATCGAGACTATATGAGTACTCATTGCACCAGCTGGCGCCTTACTTGTCACGTGCTATGATTGGTTTATATGAAATGCCGACCTTTCCGACACTCAACCTTAAAGACGTATTCGCTAAGAAAACTAATTCAATCCTCATACAGCGAATTCTATAAACCATAAAATATTATATCTTTTAAATAGTAAGCGCCACACAAAGCTCATTTTCAGAAGTTTCCCTTCGTGTTAGATTGATTGCTCCGCCAAAATCTTTTCCCTGCACTAGAGCTGGGCCATAGACTTCTTAATATAACGTATTCTAAAATGTTGCAAAAAAGTTACCGGTAGAAATAGAACTTTTTATATAACTCTATGGTTGCAAATCGACTCACTAATTTTAACTTCTCTAACTTTACTTATATATAATAGAAGCAAAACATTATCGATCGCCCCGTGTATAAAAGTTTCAGTGAAAATGAATTGGAAACTTTTAAACGCACTTAAAATAATGGCCATGTGACAAAACACTGCAGCGAATTTCATGGTCGCGTCGAAATTTCGCTATCTAGTCGACAAAACTGACATATGCAATCATACAGAGCGAATTTAATAGTAGGTGGTTCACAATCCCTTGAAAAAATTCAAATTCGGCACGTTCGAACGTGCTTGTTTTGTGGCGGTGTAGCCACTATATTTATTGTGAAAATTCGTCTGTCGAAGTCGTTTGACACGGTTTCGCGGGGCGTCAATGAAATTTTCAATCCGAGAAGACCAATTTAAGGGCTATATATTTTTTTTTAATGTTTAGGGCACTTTACAAACCTTTTTTGAATTAAAAAAACGAACCCAAAGTCTTTCTTATGAGTTTTGGTCATATTCGAACTGGTCAAGGTATCACCAATTTTGTCTAGGTGCATACCTTGACCTTCTGGAGGCAATACCTTAACCATAATGATGAGGGGTTTTGGTCGGCAGAAAAAGCATTCTCAGAACATTTATCTTCGCTTTTTGTCTTGCATGTATGTGTTCAGATCGGTATTTTGTAGAGATACAATCTTCATCTACATAATGTAATGAATATTATGATTTTGTTCGTTTTTAGACTTTTTCTCTACAATTTTATTGACTCGCTATCAGGAAACTTATCAACAAAAAAAAAAAAAATATTTATAATCCTATAATTTAATAACCGGAAATTAGAAATGTCACGTGACAAGTATGGCGGACAGTGATGAAGATAGTTATAATTCGCCCTCCCCTTCAGAGAAAATTATTGAAACACAGGGGCCAAGAGTAGTTACAATTTACAAAACTGAGACAGGTTTCGGATTTAATGTCCGTGGACAAATAAGTGAGGGTGGGGTGTTAAAATCAATCAATGGGGTGTTGTACGCACCCCTACAACATGTCAGTGCTGTGTTGGAAGGAGGTGCAGCCCAGAGAGCTGGTATAAGGAAAGGTGACAGAATTTTAGAAGTGTAAGTTCTGATGCTATTAACTGTTACATTGAGTTGGTTCAAAACAAATATAACTAAATGTTTTTTTGAGAATCATTTTATCAAATGTTATTAAAGAAAGTTCTTGGCCTTATCATGGCTAAATTAAAACAATACAATTACAAAAAAGGTTGATAGGTCATCTGATAAACCATGACAACATCTACCATTGATCACTTGGACTTGAGATAAAAGAACATTCCTATCTTTCTTAAAGATGGGTTTAAGTATTTTCATTTATGAAAATGAAAATGCTAATACTTACATGAATAGAAAGTAGAGGTGTTCTACCAGTTTGTCTCACTTGTCCATAATTAATTGATAATTAGCTGAATAAGAATAGAATTACCAGGAGAATTACAATGATTGACCGATCAAGAAAGGTCAAAAAGCCTTTTTTTGTTAAACCAGATTGTACACACATGGACATTTATTATTACTGTATCTTAATTATATACAATAGGAACATATTGATATGATAAAGAATACACGATAATTCATTAGAAACACCAATTAATCAAATAGTTTGCTTAATTGACACCAATAAAATAAAGAAAACCATCTTTAAGCCACTATTGGCAATTTTCAACAGCAGTTTATATGGCCTTCTTCAATCATCAAAAGTTGATACTTGGGTGTCAATGTCAAATGTTAATGAAGTACCATATACAAATAAGTCATTGATAATATTTTTTATATATATTTTCAGGAACGGTTGTAATGTTGAAGGTTCAACACACAAACAAGTTGTAGATTTCATAAGATCTGGTGGTGATACCTTAACACTTACAGGTAATTACTCAGTTACAGCATGGCCATAAGTCTTTTAGACTATAGATTTAATTGTCACAGGTTTTCCAGAGGAAAGTTGCTGAAAAAACATGATTGATTTGAATCACATCACTTGAAACTTTAATAATCTGTCCTCTGATTATAAATTTATGCCATACACTATATGAAATGTGGAGCGTATATTGCTGTCACCCATGTCGTTCGGTCCGTCCACAATTGTTCGTAAACACTCTACACGGCACAATTCTTGACTGATTTCGACGAAACTTGGTATGATTGTAATCACCCAAGGATGAACCCTATTGAAAATCAGAAAAATCGAAAAATATTTACTATGAGTTATTACCCTTGTTCTTCAAACGCTCGTAAACACTCTAGAAGGTGCAATTCATGATGGATTGGATGAAACTTGGTGTGAGTGTTTTTTATCACCCAAGGATGAACCCTATTTAAAATCAGAATGATCGAAAAATAATTAGTATGAATTATTGCTCTTGTTCTTGGAAACACGTTCAATTGTAGCTCGTAAACACTCTAGAAGGCATAATTCTTGACAGATTTTGATGAAACTTGGCATGAGTGTTGGTTATCACCCACGGATAAACCCTATTGAAAATCAAAAAAATTGAAAAATATTTAGTATGAGTTATTGCCCTTGTTCTTGAAAACGCATTCTAATTTTAGCTTGTAAACACTCTAAAAGGGACAACTCTTGACGGATTTTGTCGAAACTGGGTGTGAGTGTTCGTAATCACCCAAGGATGAACCCTATTGAAAATCAGAAAAAAAGAAAACTATTTAGTATGAGTTATTGCCCTTGTTCTTGAAAACTCTTTCAATTTGTAGCTTGTAAGAAGTATAGAAGGCATGATTCTTGCTGGATTTTGACAAAACTTGGTTTTATTATTCAGTACCGCTCTGAAGATTGAATATTTGTCTTCTAGAGTTTTCACGAGCTAAAAATTGAACACGTTTTCAAGAACTAGGGCAATAACTCATACTCAGTATTATTCAGTATCACCCTAAAGAGTTCAAAAGAAGTGTATGACTGAAGGTTGAATATTTCATACTGATGATTGTTATACTGTACTGCTAAATATTTTTATTCAAAATCAAAGCTGACAGTGGGCGTACATTACCTTGCCTTAAACATTGATTTGCACTAATTTACATTATGTCTTATTACAGTGATATCGGTACCTGATCAAGTAGCAGATAAATTAGAACCAAGTGATGATTCTTCAGGTCCCTCATATATAGATTATTCTGAACGCCGTTCATTACCAATATCAATACCAGATTATCAAACAGTGGAACACGATGGGGAAAAATTTGTGGTAAGTTGTAGGATCTTTTTGCAAGATAAAAAAGTGACACCACACCTAAATAGGACAGAGTTAAAGTGAATATCGCGATTGCGATATAATATTCCAATACCTTTATTTATCTTGATACCGATATAGCACCCAGTCCTATCCTAAAAGATTTTCTATCCTAAAAGATTTTCTTTTTGAGATCTTGTTTGTTTCATTTTGGAAAGTACAAGGAAAAAGAAATATCATTAAAGACAGCTAGTCTTGAAATAAGCATCCACACATGGACATTGCCTGGTACTATTTCATAACAATCTAGTTTGAACCGGACATTTTTGTCCGGTACCAAATCAATGAAAAAATATGTTTTTCTTGTTGAAAAGATCACGTATTATCAGCAATTCTGGCCGTTGATATTGCTAACAGAAGTCAAAGCTGTGTCTTATTGAAAAATTTTTTTTTTCACGCAACGGATTATCATTTTGTAAAGCCAAAATGTTTGAAACGACAATAGAATAGTCTAGATCATGAAAGGTCTTGACACAATTAGTTCAAGTCGTTTGTCCAAATCTTTTAGTAATTTTAATTCTATAATTACTTAATATACAGTGGTGTAACCTATTTTCGTGGATGTAAGGATTCAACACTGAATTTCGTCAAAGTTAAAATGTTTTTGTTTTTTTATGTCTTAGATGTTTCCTCAGATATTCTACAAAATAATTAAAATTGGTTTATTTCGATTTTCTTTATGAATCCTTCACTTAAATAAGATACGTAGCATGATTTATTGCTAAAAGTCTTATCAACATAAGAAAATGGTTCACTTTGTGTTCCATAGAAATTTTCTGCTGACATGGAGTCCCCTAGTTGATCATGTGACTTCATTCGTTGGACTACATGATAGCAGACGACACTTGGAATTCCGATTATCGCTTGGGATTATAAGGAAATTCGGCTGACAAAAAATGGTGACGTTTGGTAATAAGTGAAATCTGCCATTTTGTATTTGTCAAAGTATACATTAATACATTTGACCTTGCTTGAAACTACTGGATTCATTCTACTAGCTGACATTGTAGAGAAAACCCATGTTTATCAAAACAAGCTAATGCGGAGGTCGCACAAGGTCGCTCATGTAAGTTATTAAACATTTCTGGAAACCACGAAAATTAGGTTACCACGAAATTAGGTTATTTGACTGTAATATTGTTGTCACCCCTGACCATTGTTTCGTCCGTCTACAATTGGCTTGAATACAGGCTAGAGAATACAGTTTTCATCTGATTTTGATGAAATGCCCTTGACTTAGTATCTGATGTAAATAGACCTGTGACTGTATTGCAGGTTAGAAAACGGCAAAGTCCAGTCCTAAATTGATGGGTTTAAAATTTAAAAAAATAAATAAACAACCCTGGTTTAAATGCAATTTTCAATTGAAAATATCGTACATTTGGTACAAAATTTCAAATGTCCGACACAAATTGAATGATGACGGTCAAAATGTCCAGCCCAATTTCTGGAGTTATTTCAATCCTTGAGACATAAAAACTAAGAGATTGATTATCTGTGGAAGTTTGATATAATTAACTTGTATTTTAATCTAATTTTAGATATTTAATATTTATATGGCTGGACGTCATTTATGTTCACGTAGATATAGAGAGTTTGATAATTTACATCATAATATAAAAAGAGAATTTCCTGATTTTAACTTTCCTAAATTACCTGGTAAAAAACTCTTCCATTTATCAGAACAACAGTTAGACCAAAGAAGACGGGGGCTTGAGCAATATTTAGAAAAAGGTAATTAGCAAACAACATCTTTTTAAAGGAATAATTTTCTTTCAGCCTAATTTCAGGTATTTGTGGTGTTTGATATCTGATGGGGAGTTCACCTGTTATTGGGGTATTGAATAGATCAATCTTTGGAACATTGTTGTTCTATTTATATTCTTCAATTGCTATTCTATATTTGACAATCCAATAGGTAGCTTTCCCTTGACAAAGTATGCAATAATTTTCAGTTTGTGCTGTTCGAGTAATAGGTGATAGTGATCTGGTCCAAGAATTTTTAGCAGCAGGTGATTCTGTAAATGTAAGTTAATTATTTTACAGTAGTTATGCTTAAGCATTTCACAAATCTAGGTGATTCTCCATGTCACAAAGTGATCTGTTCTTTGAAATAGCAATTTTTATTTTAAGGACCATTTTATTTTAATGTAACCCTACCATGTTTTCCTAATTTTTAAGGAGGACGTTAATTCTGATGTAGAATTAAAAGTTTTGTTACCAGATAGAAATATATGTTTAGTTACAATCCACCGTAATGATAATGCTGATCAAGTATATGAGGTATGTAGTTACAATCTATTTAATGATAATTGATATGAAATGTGTGGTTAAAATACATTATGTTTATAATGCTGATTAAGTATATATGAGGTATGTAGTTACAATCCAGTTAATAATTGATGTGAAATATGTGGTTAAAATCCATTGTAATGATGTAGATCTAAAACTTTTATGTTATATATTTGTTATATTTTATTTATTTATATCATAAATATTGTACTTTTTTTACAGGCAGTAGTTGTTAAATTGAATATTTCCCCAAAAGCTGCACAATGTTTTTATCTATTTGAAACAGTAGAATATAATTTTGGTAAGTTTTGTTACATCAATTTTACAATCAAGTAGGACAGGGCAATATTGGTTCAAGTGGATATCATGATATTAAAGGGACATGTGCGCTATTTTTTGTGACCAATCATACTTTAGTCCCAGAAACAGGAATTTTTGAAAGTTTGAAAGTTAAAATGGTGACTCGTTATTTTAAGATACTCTGTAAATAGAAAAAGACATATATAGAAATAGTGCATAAAATTCTTAGGTTGAAGTATTTAAAAGGATTATGTGATTTTCGTATAATTCTAGTTCTTCTTTAATATCACGATATGGGTAAATTTCAGGATATTTCTTTAGAATGGTTTTTACAGATTTTTGAAATGAAATGTTTTTTTTTCTATGTAGAACTTTTACCTGTAAGAAAAAACAATTGTCTCTTATTCTCAACTCAATCTTATGAATATTATGAAAAAAAACCCATCTGTTTCAGATATCATGTTCACTGTTCAAATTGTGTAGATAATTACAACCATATATCTCAATATGGGTATATTTTGGTATTTTTTAGGCAATATTACTTACGATATAAATCCCTATCCCTATCCCTAAAGTACAAAAAGAAATTTAAGAATTTGTAACACAGAAATGTACTGTTGAATATCTGTTACTTTATGTCATTGTAGAAAGAAAACTTCAACCCCACGAGTTACCTCACAATATTTATATCCAGAATTACAGTACCGCCACAGCTACGTGTATTACTCTACAAAGATGGTACTTCTCTCCGGCTAAAGAAATGGCATTAAAAGCTGATGAAAGAGCCCTGTCCTATTTATTTTGGCTGGTAAGTTGCTGAAAATGAATTAATGCATGTGATCTTATTTCATATTTAGAAATAAACAATGAATATGTTTTTTTTTATCGTGCTTGTTCTTGAAATCACTTGTACAGTGCACTGGATGCAGTTTACTTTGTCTTGGTTTGTGATTAACCTCAGATTTCCTCATTTCTGTTTTGTGAGCCTTAATGATATTTTATTTTAATTCAAAAAAGTTATTTTTTATGTTTAGCTGGACACTGTTGTTATTGATATCTTGTCAGGTTTATGAAAATTTTTGGATCATGAAACATATATCATTCTTCTTCTAATAATTAAAGGATTGGTTCTGTGGCATTATCTCACTGTAAATGCTATGAAAATCTGAAGCTAACTATCCTGTGAAAATTTACAAACTATTTGTCTATTACAGACTGTAGATGATATCAGTAGAGGTAACATAAAAACTGGTGATAAATTATATGAACTAAAAGCATTGAAAGAATCCACAAAAGTACTAGAGGTAATGATTTAAGTATCTGTTTTATATTTGTGATGTTCTGTGTACGTAGGGAGATAATACAGATTTATAATTCTATAGATGTTTGTGTTCATATTGGGATGGGTTAAGTTTTTATTTGATTGAAAATCATGTCATTAATAATGTTGGTAATTATTGAATTATTCACTTGATTTTCAGTACCCTCTGATTGAAATTTATTGATGTTCAAAATATGATTACATTACAGTATTTAAAAATAGCTAAAAGGTTAGATGGTTATGGAGAAATTGTATTTCCACATTGTGCTTGTGATTCAAGAAGAGACGGCCATGTTATAGCTAGAATAGGAATGGAATGTTTTAAATTACAAGCCTGTCAAGAAAATGGAACTGCAGAGGTAGATTACTATCTTAAACAACTGTCCTCAATGCCTTTCATTTCATTCTAACCCTTAACTGAAAAGCCCTATAACTGACAGACTAAACAGCTTTCTATTTTTATAGATTCTGCAAATTCCAGGTTCAAATAAATTTCAGTCAGTTTTCAATTATTGTTGAGATTTTTAACTGGCACATGATATAATTAAAAGTTGTTGCCTTTGTCCCAGAATAATTAGATATTTTAACTTGTAACTCATCTAGTTTTCAGATGTTTTTCTTAAAATTTATTTGTATGATTATGATCCTAAAGGGGTGTGCATTTTGAATATTAACAATTTGATCGCTTTTCAGTGTCTTGGTTTTTATGATTCCACCCATTGTATTTTGCATGCTGTTTCTCACCATTTTGTTGAAGTGGACCTTTTATTTTAGTCTCAAGTCATAGAATTTTCATGGAAAGATGTTTTATCATATGAAGTGGATGAAGAGGGCATGTCATTTAATTTTGAATATCATCGTCAAGGCAAAAAACCAAGAATAGTCAAAATTTTCACTCAATATGTAAGTATGAGCACATAATATCAGAAAAAAAGAGCAAACAAGTCAGAATACAGAATTGAACTTATTGGGAGTAGACACCTTGAATATTTTTTTCTCAGATGACGCTAAAAGAGATAACTTTAGATTCAGAATATGCATTTGTCTCTCTAGATGCAAATAAGTATAATTGTTTCGAATATTTTTGAGCTTTTCATGTCATATTTTAAAGCTTTTTGCCCTATATATCAAGAGCATATAGAAATAAGGCACACTCAACCTCTGAGCATACTGTTATCAATAATATGTTCCATATACATAATAATATAAAAAAAAAATCTGTTATTTCAGTATTATTTTATGAATGATTGTTTCAATAAAGTTTATGAAGAACTAGAAGAAAAATAATGGTAGATATTTCACATTTATAATGATATTGAATAGAATGTAATTTATTTTCTAATATGATTTTCTATAACATTGTTTTCTTCCTCTCAATGTTTTCCTCTGTATTAATCTTTGTGTGGGTTGTAGTAATATGTCAAACCTCCATTTTAATTTATTGAATCCTGTAAAGCTGGATTCATGATATGTTATCCTAGTGCTAAACTGACTATCCTTTCAGTAAGAACTTCATTTCTTTCCATGATGGAATTCAATGTATATATGTTTTTTGTCTTTTTAGCTCAAATATGTTTGGACTGGTTCCAAGAAGAGTTTGTTTGTAATCTGATTATTGAGAACAATACCATTAATTCTACAAACAGAAAGTCATCTATATATCATGCAACAGCTATTGATTTTAACTATGATATATACGTACTGGATTAGATAGTGCTCGGTGTACTTATATCTTTTATTTATGGAATATATTTAATATATATTATTATATATGTATTAAGATTCCTGTTGCCAAGGTGATAGAGTTCAACTTCAGCACAAACTGATATATATTTATTTCAACTCAGCTCAGATCAAAATCAAAGACGAAGTGTTTTTACATTACAGATTTTATTTTTTATTTAGATTGTTGTTGAGATATATTTGATGTGATATAAACAAAAATAGTGGACCTTTGTACACAGAGGTTTCATGTTGTTCCCCCACAAGTTACATTAGACTGTACATTTGATGCAGTTGATGTAATAGGATTCAAAACTTAGATATGATTTTAACTGGATGCAAGTAAAAAAATTCATGAAGTCCTTGAGATTAATGCATATAACACAAATAATGCAGTCAGTTTTTTATGTAGAACTTTAGATAAGATACTAGATAAATGCAGGACTGGAAAAGCTAGTTGTAAACTATCACCCTTTTTTCAATAGCGTCAGATTATCAGGATGTGCAGTCGGCGTAAACTTGCACACTGGCTTATTTTTTTATGGTGTCAAAAAATCAGTTAGTGTGGGCCGACCTTAATTAAATCTGCTTCAACAAAGTAGAGTGTAAGTTTAAAATGAAAATCGGCATTTCTTTTTAAGAATTATTTTCAGCCAGTTTTATTTTTGTTCTCTGTTTATTTGTATCCATAGAGATACATTTAGATGAAGCTAGATTTACATATGCCGTCTTGGGTTGTCAGTTATTGCCTTTGACTTCTTAAGTTCTCATTACTGTTTACTACTTTCTAACAGCAGACATAATCTGACATACTCAATTGTAACTATTCAATTTTTTTTCATCTTATCATTATCTGTGGACACTTATTATATGCACACATCTTTCTATGTGGACGTATATTGTCGGCACCCCTGTCCATCCGTCTGTCGCTCCGTCCGTCTGTCAACATTTACTTGTAAACGCTCTAAAAACTAGAGTTTTTGATGGAATCAAATGAAATTCGATATATGTATACATATTCATAAAAAGAAGATCAAGTTCGAATTTGAGCTATTTTCGATGGTTAGAAGCAGAGTTTTTGCCCTTGCCCCAAATTGCTATTACTGTCTTAGTTTTCAACCGATTTTGATGAAACTTAAAATGGATGTTATTGGACCTAAATTGAAAGGTTTAAGAAAGTTTAGTTTACTTTTGATTAGATTTAAGGCTTTTTCAAGATTTAGGCCTCTTACGTCAGTTTTGAGGAGTTATCGCCCTTTAACCTCTATACAGTAAGTGCTTCTATCAACATCATTTGCTTGTAAACGATCTAAAAACTAGATTTTTTTATGGAATCAAAGTTCGAATTTGAGCTATTTTCGACCGTAAGAAGCAGAGTTATTGTCCTTGCCCCAAAATCTTTAATATTTACCATCCGCATGCCGCGGTGGCGTGTATGGCTGTGGTCCACTATCTTTTTTTTGTAGTTAAGATATTTTTCTATATAATGTGTACAAGTTTTATTTTGATTTTTGTATTTTCTTATTTAATAGCCACCAAAAACTTTAGTTAGGGTAATATAATTATTTATTCTTCTAAAATATAACATTTGATAGTAAACTGACAAAATAAACAAACACAGGTTTATGAAATCAGCAATTTTGTTAGGTGATATATCTGGAAAATGACGTAGATAGCAAAGGCCAAGTTAGTCGTAATCTGATCAAAGTACAGCTTTAAATAGTGGGTTGCAATTTACAACTGACTGAATCCAAAAAAATAATGCATTTCTAGATGTTTATATTTTATTAAATTACTTCACACTTTATTTTTTTAAATTTACTTCATTAATTTAATACAAATTGGTTATTATATCTAAAAAAAAATCAAGCCCACTTGTTGAAAGTCAATTTCAATAATCAATTCTTTATAAAACATGATCCAGCTCCTATTGAACCTGGTATCAGTTTGGCTTAATTTATGAACACTCTTAGCGTCATTAGATTCAGAAAGATCATGATATTGACAGAAAATGACAAGACAATAGAGCTGTATTTAGATCAGAATGAGTCCATGTAAGTGAAAGTTCAAATTTTGTTTATCATTTTGTGATTTTTTACGAAGTGTAATAAATGGCAATATTTTTAGTTAGATGCTTTGATATATTTATATTTCGTTTCATACCATAAATTTTTCAAACCAACAGAAATATGTGTAAGATAACTAAAACCCCTTTTCAACAACATACAGTGGACAAATTGTATTTGTTATAATATGTGTTAAAAGCTAATAATAAAATAGCATCAAATATTTCTTTTGTGTTGTATTTTGGCTTAATACTGGGTCAAATTTCTTTTCATATATTATAATTTACAAGAGTTGATTCAGTGGTGGCTTTATTTGGAATGACTTTCGCAGTTCTTGAGTCTTATTTGTTGCAGTTACATTTATCATCTGATTTAACACTAAGATCTTCAGTTCCTCATTACCCTTTGCTTTAAACTCCAGTTAAACATTTTTACATAAAAATCAAAAACTTTATTACCTTGAATAAAATATAAGGGTGATGTGGAGATATACAGTATATTCTATAAAATCAACTACAATGTAACTGAATAACAGATGATCTGGACCACTGAATAGTATATGCAATCTGAGTAAAATCCATAATTTGACAAGATTCTTCTTTAAACCACATCCTTTGGTATTTGGACTCATTAGCATCCAAAATCGTCGGAATTGAAAATTGCTTTTTAAAGTGGTTATACAGTGTAAGTCAGTGTTAGATCATGGATGACAAGTGGAGTTCCCAACAGAAAAAAACACAATACAAAACATTCAGTTTTGCATTTTAATCAGATTTTAGTATATTATATATATGTTCGGGTGTTCCAATATAAATTTAAAAAAAAAATGACCCAAAGTACGACTGGTAGTATCTCAGCTGTAAACTGACCTCTTTCAACAATTCTCCCAGATATACTTCAAGATGCTGTTGACTTACTGAACATGAACTGGAAGGCATTATAGTTGTCAAAGAAGATGGAGGGCACATTGAACACAGGTTGAAACAGGTAAGTTGCCTTAATATTGCCTACAATAGGTGGCAGGTGTTAGGTTGTGCTGAATAAATGAATTAAAGAAAATTTAAGAATATGCAAATAATAAGGAATGTTGAGGTATTCATATTTATATGTGCTAGCTAGAATCAACACTTCAATGATTTATTAGCATAAATTTTCTTATATCTTTAATAAATTTTCAAAGTTTGTTCTACATTAAAAAACTGATTTTAGACATTATCTTATAAAATTTAAAAAGAAATTACATATGTGAAGTGGTCTACCTCATATCTTTTCACAAAGAAACAATGATGATAAACTATCTGTAAAAAATATTTTCAGAAAAAATTAAATTCATGTCCACATGTGACAATCTTGAACATATTAATGGAGGTAACATGTCTTAAATGTGTTCAGTAAAAAATAATTGCAAAACAATCATCATTATTGTAGATCAAAGAATTTGATAATTGTTCAAAAGAACAATATAAACCAATCCCATTCCTTGAATAATTTGATTCTTGAATCCAAAGTTGATTGAGCTTTCTGAAAACAAGCTGCAGTTCTCTATCCGTTCTTAGATTATGAAAGATTCAATGACAATAAAAAAAATTATGACATAATGTATCACCTCACATAGAATACAAAAAGGAAAAAATAGAGATTTACATGATATATTAGATAACAAATACTGTCAAATATACTGAATAAATAATTATAAACATTCATAATAAAATAAATAAAACTATATATTATAAAATTTGAAGAGAGTAATTGAATAAAAATTTTAAATTTAGAAGAAATATATGTATTTTTTTAGCCTAAACTACTTATGGATTAAGTGGACTGTTTGTCTTAAAATTTACACTAGTTCCAGGATATGCATCAATATCTCATAAAAATTAGAATATATCAGAAACTTTACTTGACTGTGAAAGAGATTTTAAGCTTTTGATGTTAAATTATTTTCCATTAAGATCTCCAATACACAGAATGAAATATTCAATATTATACAAAAGTCCTTACTATTGACAAATATATAAAGTCCAATGCATAGATGACAAAATGGACAATTTAAACAGGCCTAAATCATTCTTAAAGGGATTGTAAAAAAGTTTTCTAATTTTTTTTATGTGTATTGGGGACAATGATATCCTCAATTTGCACCATGCCAATTTTCAGTTAGACATCTGTGGTTCCTTCAATTCCAATAAAACTAAGGGTTGTATGACCTCACTAGTCACATAGGCCCTTACGTAATAAAAGCATATTTTGCCATAAGTGATGTCATCAAACACTTAAATTTAGTGAAATTGCAGGACCCACAAACATCTGACTGAAAATTGTCCCCGATACATATCAATTATTTAGAAAACCTCTCAACAATTCTTTAAAAACATCACAGTCAAAGAGGCTATAGGTGACTCTTTCAGTGAATATAAATTCAATGTTAGGTGAAATGTACAAATATACAATGACATTAAAATAATATACCAGTAATAATTATTAATCTGAATCTTCTTCATCAACATAACCTTCTTCATATCTTAATGATCTATTACCAGCTACAAAATATCAAGTATTCAAATATCATCTTATTCTGACTTTTCATAACAGTTTTCAATATGCATTTTGTCAGACTACATGGAAAGCACAATGCTTATGCAGTACACAAAATCAAAGAAATGTATGGTAACGTTTTAAGTTGAGAATAAAACGATATCTAGAAGTTCAATAAACTTAAGTTTGCTATGACAAGGTTTAAATTGAAGTTATAGCACGATTTAGTCTGTAAATGTATAGAAAGAAGGGATCTACTGAAGTTTTCTGCACACACTAACATGTTAACAATGTAACAAAAATAACTTAAACTTAAAATGGATGTTATTGGACCTAAATCGAAAGGTTTGAGAAAGTTTAGTTCACTTCTGATTAAATTTAAGGCTTTTTCAAGATTTAGGCCTCTTATGTCAGTTTTGAGGAGTTATCGCCCTTTAACCTCTATACCGTAAGTGCTTCTATCAACACCAATTGCTTGTAAACACTCTTAAAACTAGTGTATAGAATATTTACCATCCGCATGCCGTGGTGGGCGTATACGACTGTGGTCCACTATCTTTTGGGCTAAATTTTTCATGATATATCATCTCAAGGTCACGAGGGCCACAAGGTCAAATTCAAGGTCAAATTCAAGGTCAAAGTCCTTGGTCATCACTGTTTAAAACACTCCTATGTAAAAAAAATAAGGGCAGATTTGGAATCCCTGTGCAATTTCCTTTTTGGAAAAACTTACTTCAGCTTACTTCAGCTATCGGTTATTGAGCTATGGTCACACCGAAATCCCCCAAATTAGGTGGACCATATCTCGGGAACAGTTAGTCAGATCAAGCTAAAAATTAGAATATCAGCTTTTTCAGCCCAAATAAGCATATAAACCAAATTTCAGCAAAATCAAAGGGGGTACAGTTTACCTCATTGGGTGATTTGACATGAAATGACCCTATTTGGGATCTAATTTTATAGGTCATGATTTTGTTTTTGTTGTCGTATAACCAGGAGTATTATTAATTGCCTTGTTGTTATTTTGCACATTTTAATTTTATTTTCTAAAAGGTTACTTGAAGCAGTATTCGAAAAGGTCGTCCTTTTTCGTCACTTTAATATTCACCCTATGCAGGTGAAGGCTTCATGAATTTTCCATAAATAAATTTACAGAAATCTGCAGAATTTGATGTTTTACAGAACATCTATGGTCAAAACTGGAAGCTTTTTATTTGGCATGCTATGCAGCAGAACTTTAGTAGGAGCATTTGCAAAGATAAAGCAAAAGTTTGGCCAACATCTTGATGCAGATGAAGTTGAAAGTATTGACAACTAGTTACCAGGAAGCTCTTTAACAGCTGAATGCACCTTTTCTATCCTGAAACGAGTCAAATCTCGAATACTTCCTAAGCAGCTATGACAGGTGTGGCACCACACAGGGTATGCTTACTCTTCTATACACCTGATAATACTTCCTCACTTACGAGTGATGTACTTCCTCACATGAAAAGTTCAATAGCTGCTTCTAACTTTTCGCCAATATATTGTTTGAATTTTGGGTTTCGTTTTGCGGTTCAGACCTCAACAGCGCTACTGTACGGTTTCCAACGCTCCCTTCACACACAATAAAAACACCTTTCCACAGTGAAGAAGTTAGAACTGTCAAAAGCAATAATTCAAACACTGAACTGAGCAATATTCAGATTCTATATTCTTATCAAGAATTAATCTATCTTAGCTACCATAAGGTATAAGTTAAAATTGCTATTTTGTGTATTATTGACTAACATGTTTTATGTTTTATTATTGGATTGTACAAAAGGCCCAGTAGTATTGGGGGTGCCAAAATGATTTCTGCCCCTTCAGCCAATTGGGAGCCACAACACCACTGCTTTCAAATCTGACATAAACTTTATACAGTCCTTGTCTGCCATCTTGGAAAATGGCCACCATATTGAAAATATCACGTGGCTTATGGAATTTTTTATTGAAAGGACAGTTATTATTACTATAACTTTGCCAATTTCATCTTGCATCATAAACTGTAACATTTTTCACTATCCTGCTGGGCTAAATTCTAAAAAGTCTAAGAGATAACTGCAATGAATTTTCTTAGTCAATTATTTTGCTTCGTTAAAAAAAATGATCTAAGATGTCATGTAGATAAGAAAGAACCTTACCTGCTTCTCTTAATAATGCTGCTGTTTCAGGATCTTTAGCTAATTCACTAGGTAATTTGTCATCGTTGTTACGTATATTAGGGTTAGCTCCTACATTTAATAATATCTCTACAGCAGCACTGTGATTCTTCCATGCTGCAGAATGTAATGGTGTATCACCTAGTTTATTCTGTAAACAAATGAAAAGAATTCATAAATCTTATAGCACAACAGTAAAGCTAAATTAATAATTTTGGCATAACATTTTTTATATAGAAGTTTTAAGCACAAAGCTCAAAATGTTCAAGTTATGTATCTAAAAAATTTCGCTGGTTAAAATAGTCATTGTTAAAGTACATCTGTACTGAATTATTATCTTACTTTTACATCTACTTGACAATTAGCAACATTAAGCAAAGCTTTTAAACATTCAATATGACCACCATGAGCAGCCCAATGTAATGGTATTGAACCTGCTTTATCTAAACCATTAACAGATACCTATAATAAATAAAACCTATCAAATAATATTTATTATATAATATATAATAATAATTTTCACTAGATTATAATTTGAGGACTCTCAACTTGCAGATCTCCTATTCACTTTGTTGAAAACTGAGTTTCACACTCAAGAAATAAAAGATGAAATATGAATAGATCTTCAGCTCAGATTGATGGCTTTAAATCTTTGCCTTGTTTTCTCAACCTTCGTTTTCAGATAGAAACTAGGTATGCATAGAACTGTTAAAAAACTATATGCTGTGTAATGTCTGATCAGAGTTCTGCAAAACATCTGTCATATACTAAATCTTATTTGAAATGGCTTACCCTATTTCCAATACACTCCATTAAAAAATCCATATTTCCTCTTTTAGCTGCCTCATGCAGTGGATGATCTATAGACTCTGTGTTTTCACTCACTGAATTCATTAAAGAAGGAAATGAAATGTACCCGATTGAAGACTGATGAAGAAACAAATTATACAAAAAGTTTTATAGCTCAAACATCTTAATTGCCTCTATGTAATCTTTGGCTTGGACATTTATCTGATATATCAAAGGGAAGTTTGTTTTCATGATAAATATGGTTTGCCTAGGTCAAATCTGGGCATGTCTGATGGTTGATATCACATGGAAGTGTGAATGGTACAAATAGGTACAATATATAAAACCTATGTGAATTGGAATCCCATAAAGCCATTGCCGGGTGACAAATTTTGTTGTTTGTATCCTCAAGCAGTATTCATATTTTACCTACCATAATTACTTGGTATCAAACCCACTTTTTTACCACATTTAGCTTTCCACCAATCACTATTTGTCATATCTATTATATACAATAAATCTCCTTCATCAAAAGTTAACTCATCAGCCTTAAATATAAAAATAGTCATTCTCTATTACCTACGGAGCCCCTAAGGCACAATAGTAAACATATTTATTTATTATTTCATTTAAACGAAATAATTATTTCGTTTAAACGAAATAAAAAGATGGGTTAATTATTTCGTTTAAACGAAATAGACGAAAAAATTAATTCGTTTAAACGAAATAAACATAGTGTATTTCGTTAAAACGAAATAATTATTTCGTTAACATTTCGTTTTAACGAAATAAATGATGTTATTTCGTTTAAACGAATTAATTATTTCGTTAAACGAAATAATAAATAAATATGTTTACAATTGCGCCTTAGGGGCTCCGTAATTACCACTTATTTCACAAATTTTCATAGTTATTTTGGTAATAAAACAGATTCAATTTTTTTCATAAAAAGAATGAGCATTTCTTAATTTGGAGATACCAATATTTTTCACTTATACAATTAAACTGTTCAGAGCTGAAGTAGTAATAAGATCAAATATTGGTTGGGGTGTAAATTTGATGGAACTTGTAATTGTGAAATGTACTAACCTGTTGAGCTTCATAACGAAACATGGCTTGAACAACTTTAACTTGACCTGAAAAAAGATTTAAAATCTTACTACTTTGGCTATACCAGGTTTCTGATGTTTTTCTTGTCAGATTGTTTCTTATTGAGTACTTAAATTAAGTAGTTTGTCAATACACCTTTTTTTCTTAAATGTCTAGCTGTCAAGGGATCTTTCTTCACTTACAGTTATACAGCCTGTGGTGTTAGATGGTGATGAGAACATAGTCTCATGAAAGCACTGGCCTAGGTCGCAAAGTAAAGATTTATGATAAAACAAGGTGCAAGTTAAAGGTTAAGATAATTAGATATGTTAACTAAGGATGTCTCTGTAATACTATCTGTGGTAGTATCATTTCTTTAGCTGAAACATTCTTCTGATATATCAATAATCATCTCAAGATTTAAGGCTATTGAGGGTTAAGTCTACCATGGACTAGGATATTACTGAAATTTTTATTTCTTCTGTAAGCTGTAACAAGTCTCTTGCTGTAGACATGAGGATATTGGTCTTGGAGATTCTGGTAGTGGCGTCTGATGATATGAGAGGCATTAGTGGCAGTATGATTGTAGGTGGTAACGCAGGGTATTATCTGGTTGTCGTGTTGAATATTTAAACCATTAGGATATACTGTTGAAGTTGGTCCATCCAATAACTCTCGCGTTGTAATCTTCTTTGCTTTGGCTTGATATCCGGCATAGGTTGTATCTTTTCAATAGGCATAATCAACAAGTCTTCAATGGAATGGTCGGGTTGGTTAAAGTGATTGGAAATTGGTCTGTTTTTGGCGCGTTCTTTGTTTCTCCAATATTATACAGTGGTATAACCTATTTTCGTGGATATAAGGATTCAATACGGAATTTCTTCAAAGTTAAAAAAACAAATTTTTTTTTTATGTCTTAGATGTTTCCTCAGATATTCTGCAAAATAATTAAAATTGTTTTTTTTCGATTTTCTTTATGAATCCTTCACTTTGACCCATATTTCATGAGCAACCATCTCGGCAACGGCGGCAGAATGCATCATCTATTTTCGTGTACAATGTTTGATCTTTTAATAAGTCGAGAAAAACACGTTGTATGGATACCAGGTGGTATAATTAACTTCTCTTAGTATTTATCTTTAATACCAATTCATTATAACTAGTGACAATTCCTTCAAAGAACCACGATTTTTAAAAAAATTAGTGACTGACAAAATAAGATACATAGCGTGATTTATTGCTAAAAGTCACTCAAAGAACATAAGAATATGGCCCACTTTGTGTTCAAAAGAAATTTTCTGCTTACACGGAATCCGCTAGTTTGATCATGTGACTTCATTCGTTTGACTACATTCTAGCAGACGACACTTGGAATTCCGATTACAGCTTGGGATTATAAGGAAATTCGGCCGATAAAAAAATGGTGACGTTTGGTAATAACTGAAATCCGCCATTTTGTATTTGTCAAAGTATACGTTAATACATTTTACCTTGCTTGAAACTACTGGATTCATTCTACTAGCTGACATTGTAGAGATAACACATGTTTATCAAAACAAGCTAATGCGGAGGTCAAGCGAGGTCGCACATGTAAATCATTAATCATTTCCAGAAATCCACAAATGATTGGTTTCCACGAAATTAGGTTACTTGACTGTACTGTATGTCGCATTTTTTACATGAAATTAGGTAAATCAGATTTTGATCTCCAAATGAAATATGTAAGATGACTATATTAGTACATAATCAGTCAAATATATATCTATTAGATAGAATAAAAAGTTGGCAAAGTAATATTTATTTTGCAAATTCATAAAACATGTAATAGTTTTGGTAAATATAAAAAAAATTTTTACAAGTTTAGATTTTCATGCAAATGTTATTGACTTTTCAACAGGAAAAACAAACATCATAACATTAGCAGTTGTTTAGTTCTTAAAGGTCGACAACAATATAATAGTTTTAACACATCAGTATTACCTGGTTTTGGTACCAATGGTGGGGGCCTTGTTGGTTTTGGTCTGTTTGCCATTACACTTTTTTTTTTAAAAATTGTCTTCCGCAATAAAATAATGATGAACTTTTACTCGGCGACAAAATATCACTTACGTCTTGTTGATCGAGATCATTCTGAAGTCTTCGTTTTTGAAACACACACAAATTCCTCGGTGGCTCTTTTGTTGAAATTCTAAGAAATCTCAAAATTAGATTGCATCCACTCTTTTTCCACCCTTTTTTTATGTTAAATTATTCACATGTATTTCGTATTTTTAACCTAGGTTATACATATTAGCCTGCTCTGAGAAGCATGTATTCAGATGAACTTGCTAATAGGCCTAGTAGCCTATTATAAAAGTCTACATATCTATAACACAATTTCGGAATAAATAAGGCTTCTCTGTGTGTAGGCCTAGTTGATGGCTATCGATATTAGATTCTACCCCTAGCCAAATATATATAAATTTATATAATATATAATATATATAAGTCACACAATTATGGATCATGACCTCCATAAAAATATAATAGTTGTCATTAAACGAAGTAGCGCCCCTTTAATAACAATAAAGACATCGTCTTTGTCGGTTTAAAGATATTCGAACCAGATATATATGGACTTTTATTCACAACGGTGCATGGTAATAAATTAAATTATGTTACCATTTTTTCCGTATGCTAACGTTTTAAAAAAAAATCTTTCAAATATTGTCAATCAAATCTTGTAAATTTATTTTGTACAAATTCAGGAACCAGAAACGTCTGACAGAATAAAGGATCGAAATATGGAATGGCAAAATGTTACCGACAACAAACTGTAAGATGCACAAATTTGTAGATCCAGGCCTATGCGTCATTTTTTAACCGTGCTGAATAGATTTACTTTTTTGCAATCTGAGATTATGTTAGGTAGTTCTTTTCATAGTAAATAGAAGTGTAAACTAAGGAGAGTGTTTAGGAAATGCGGACGATATCCCCTCTCCAAACAGCACGAGGAGGTACCCTTAAGAAAATACCACTCATAAAATCGCGAAATACATCATCGTAGCCTGAAGACGAGGTTTTCCGTTGTCATATCAAGGAAGTATGACAAAATGGGGATGGTTTGGACACATGTATTAAGGATTAGATTAGATTAGATACCATGCAACTGTATAGCCATTTACATAGGCGAAACATGCAGATCCCTCTGCACCAAAAACGAAGATGCAAAATCCACCTTATCTGAACACCTCATAAAGTTTCCAATCCACAAAATCCAATGGCAAGACCAATCCATCATAGCCTCCAGCCTCCCCAACAAGCAACAACGACGAATTCGAGAAGCTCTAGCTATTCAGAGACGCTTTCCAGAGATCAACTGCGACAATGGACAGTACATTTCCAAGATATGGCTGTTATGTTTTATTCTCTTGCCATTACATCTGATGACGACACGTGAATGTTGTGTTGAAACGTTAAAATGTGCCCAACCTTATTAAAAGATAGTGGACCACAGCCATATACGCCCACCACGGCATGCGGATGGTAAAAACGAAACATCCATTTTAAGTTTCATCAAAATCGGTTGAAAACTAAGAGAGTAATAGCAATTTGGGACAAGGGCAATAACTCTGCTTTTAACGGTCGAAAATAGCTCAAATTTGAACTTGATGTTCGTTTTATGAATATGTATACACATACCGAATTTCATTTGATTCCTTCAAACACTCTAGTTTTTTTAGAGCGTTTACGAGCAATTGATGTTGATAAAAGCACTTACTGTATGGAGGTTAATGGGCGATAACTCCTCAAAACGGACGAAAGTGGCCTAAATGTTGAAAAAGCCTTAAATTCAATCAGAAGTAAACTAAACTTTCTCAAACCAAAACTTTCGATTTAGGTCCAATAACATCAATTTGAAGTTTCATCAAAATCGGCTGAAAACTAAGAGAGTAATAGCATATTCAAGATTTTGGGGCAAGGGCGATAACTCTGCTTCTAACGGTCGAAAATAGCTCAAATTCGAACTTGATCTCCGTTTTATGAATATGTATACACATACCGAATTTCATTTGATTCTATCAAAAACTCTAGTTTTTAGAGCGTTTACCAGCAAACGTTGCCGGCGGACGGACCGATGGACGGACATGGGTGCCGACAATATACGTCCACATTGAGAGATGTGGGCGTATAACCAGACACAAAATTATTGTCTTACTCAACACACTACTTATAACACAAGAGTTATGAAAATATCGACTTTGTTTCAAATTCTCTTTCAAACACACACACTATTTGTTCTGACAAAATTCAGATTTATCAAAGGATGGTCAAATAACTACCACTGTCACAGACAATCGGTCAATATTTTATGTATTTTGAGTGTGGGAAAACGATAACAGCATGAATTTTTATTACTTTTTTTTTAATTATTCAAAATTGAATTAAAGTTATTTAAAGTTAAAGGAATTACCTAATTGAAACTGATTCTTGATTTTTTTTTCATTCGTCATTATAATGGTTGTAGGCTACGCATATTGGCCGCACTCAAAGGTCCTTTAAGTTTAGCTATTATGATAATCAATGTGTGAGACAATAAACTGTGGCATTCAGCTCCTCATACTGGTAATCACTGTTGATTAGTTTTATCCTTATACGTCAATTGTATGTAAATAAACGTTAAAATGTTACAACTGTTTTCTAATTTACTATTGGCGTCCTAGATAGCTATCTCACGTGCATCGTGAACTTACTTAACTATTAGCGTCATATAAAAGCTCACACACACGTTCGAATTTAAATCGACTGACAACAAATTATGTCGGATTCAGATGAACTTTTCCTCACCCAGAGTACTTTTTCTGAAGATGCGCAAAATACTTTCGACTCCGGCGATGTAAGCCCAAGGTTTGAAGACTTTCTGGACAACATGGTAGCCCCTGTGGGTAACTTTAATTTTGGGCATTCACTTGACGTATACCACATTAGTTCGTCTGATGAAGAACTACTTCAGACCACTTAACAATTTGAAGCAGGCAATGATCAATCAACTGAAGGGAGCAGAGTAGAGCAGAGTATCCCCCAGTCACCAATTAAATGTTCGACAACAGGTAGATTTGGGCAACCGTTGTCCAAAATTGAAATGACCTCATTGAAAAGAGTTGTGATCAACAAAAATACAGAAAAAAGGTGTCAGTGGGCAGTGCTGATTTTTGATTCCTGGAACGGAGAGCGACACGGAATTCGAAATAATATTGGTGAAAAACTGTTGGAACTGAATGACAATGACCTTTGTGGTCAATTACTATTGTTCTTGACGAGAGTGAAAATCAAAGAGGTGGCGATTATCAAGGGAATACAATTCACGAAATATTAATTTCCATACAGTATTTCATGAGAAAAAATGGAGGAAATATTAATTTTAATACAGATTTCAACTTTTTACCACTGCGAAAGATATTAGATGCTAAAATGCGGTCATTGGCACAAAGTGGAATAGAAAAAAGGCGGATATAATAACAAGAGATCAGGAGGACATCATCTGGGAACAGGGCCTTTTGGGTGAAGACACGTCCCAAAAGTTAATAGACACTGTGTTTTATCTGAATCGTATCAACTTTTGTTTACGAGGCGGCGAAAAACACCACTCGTTAAAAATCGGCGATAAATTAAATTTCAGCATCATATAATATGGAATGGTGTAAAACATTTAAAATATATTAAAGGGCTGTCAAAGACGAATAATGGCGGATTTTTACACAGAGATCTCACACCGAAAACTGTCGAAATTGGACCAAACCAAGAAAAACCAGCCAGATGTCTTGTTCGGTTATACGAAAAGTATATGTCTCTAAGGTGAGTTATAATTATAATAAATTGCTATGTTTAAAGTGTAAATTCGAAAACATAAAAATGTCTAAATAAATAACGAATATGCACCGAATATGCGTACATTTCGGCTTCGAGTATAAAAGCCCCGTCAGCTGTGCGCCAAAAGGTAAGTTTGTTTGTTTGTAGTCCGGGGGATGATCTACATTCCAGTCAATCATTCGTTGTGTAATATGTGAACCATTTATGTTTATGATTTAATAGTGGCGAACTCATTGACGTAGTGGCGAACTCATTGACAGAGTGGCGAACTCATTGACAGAGTGGCGAACTCATTGACAGAGTGGCGAACTCATTGACGGAGAGACGAACTCATTGACGGAGTGGCGAACTCATTGACGGAGTGGCGAACTCATTGACGAAGTGACGAACTCACTGACGTACTGACGTATGAGGTAGCTCTTATGCATACACGCCTTATTCATCCGTCACTCAGTCAATGAATCGGTAGCTCCGTCATTCATTGCCATTGGCTTAATCCGTGATTGGCGTCAGTCCGTCAATCATCCAAGTGACGTAGTGGCGAACTCATTGACGGAGTGGCGAACTCATTGACGGAATGACGAACTCATTGACGGAGTGGCGAACTCATTGACGGAGTGACGAACTCATTGACGAAGTGACGAACTCACTGACGTATGAGGAAGCCCTAGCCACGGTAAACATTTCATCCGTCATTCGTCGATGCTACCTTACAAAATTACGGGGCTCTATGTAAATAACAAAGCGAAAGAATACAGGCTTAAGTTTCGGTACTAGTAACGGGCTTGACGAAAACATCGACTTACTGACGGACATCAGTGCTGCTCTGATGCATTCCTTTAGTTTAGCGAAATGGCTGAATTAATCAATGCTTTTTTTTTTCGTTTTCTTTTGTAATTATTGGTGTTTCGTATTCTGTAAGGTAGCATCGACGAATGACGGATGAAATGTTTTCCCCTGTCTAGGGCTTCCTCATACGTCAGTGAGTTCGCCACTCCGTCAATGAGTTTGCCACAATGAGGTATTCATGGACTGACTCCAATCACAGATATCAATAAAGTCCGGGGGCTTTCAATTCAACCTAAAGGAATGCTAAAACTGAATGCCAATAAATTAGGTATTCAGCCCTGGATTGCTTCATACTTAACAACATCAATGAGTTCACCACTCCATCAATGGGTTCGCCATTATGCCAATGAATTTGCCACTATGTCACTGCAATGATTGACGGACTAACGTCAATGACAGATTGAAAAAAAATAGAAAATGTTCAAGGAATCTAGGAAGGCGGTGAAAAAATCTATCGCGATTTTGGTATAGTGAAAGTATAATAAAAAATTTTTATGGCACTATTAGAAGACAAAACAGTTTTCTTATTATTTGTTTTATTAAAAATAAAAGAATACCAGAATTCGACATAAAATATTACAAGTTTTTGAAAAAAATATATATTTTCACAGTTATCATAATTATGGCAAACGAGTGATGGCTATAGGCTACACTTACAAAACAGCAGCTTTAATCTCATTTATTCTTCTGTTTAAAACAATAATATAATATCTCCATTGATCACAGCACATTTCAATATGGCTTGTTACTTACAAATGCATATGTACATATTGTCTAACGCATTCAGAAGCAACAATTCGAGTGTTGGAATTTTACTTCTTTTTTCATTAAAAATACATTATAATTATGACTACAAATTTTTTCACATCATTTGTTTCATGTTAAAGAGATTGTCCAAAGGGGTTTTTTAAACTTCACATATGTATTGGGAACACTGAAAGGATAAATTTTCACCATTCCAATTTTCAATAGGACGTCTGAGGTTCATGTAATTCCCTTTCCCATCGCAAAATCTGATAAATAATGACGGTAACTAAATTATAACCAAATTAATTTCAAAACAATAATCGATGAAAGAGATAATTGTGTTCCCAAGAAAACTTTGACGCTATTTTTACCAAACAAAGATCAATAACTAAAAAAACCGTTAATTGGACATAAATCGAAGATCGAAGTTATCACCAATATAGCATTCCAAATTTCGACAAAAGCAGAAGAAATTTTTTTCTATAGTGATCACCAATCCATTTCGAAGAAAAATCACGAAAAATTCTCAACAATATACATAACATGCCAAAGTCCATCAAGATCAGGTTACAACTGCAGTCTCGTTCGTATTCACATGCCAAATTCGTTTATTTTGGATAGATCAAAATCAATTAACTCAAAAATCGTTCATAAAAAAACTCATACTTAAACGATGTACACAAAATTATACGTAAACATACCAAGAATTGTTAAAAATCTGGCCTATTTGTATAGCCTACATACAAGATATTTCACTTGCACGACCCATAAGCAAATTGAGATCGATATCCTGCAAGAATGTTAATATAGGTTCATACAATAATAGAAACGAATTACGATGCTTTAAAAATACGAAAACCGAAGTCATTAGCTTGTATCTTATTTTCGTTTACTGATGGAAATTAGATATTCCCCAATTTGTACGAAATTCTTTTTTTAGTTTTTGACATGTTCTATAGACGATTTGATTTAAATACTCCGTCAAATGTCGTTTTTCGTTTAAGAACTTATTAAAAACAAAAGTTATAAAATTGTAGCATCGACGTATTGATGGACTCCAGTGACGGAGTGGCGAACTCACTGACGTAGTGACGAACTCATTGACGGAGTGGCGAACCCATTGACGGAGTGACGAACTCACTGACGTACTGACGTATGAGGTAGCCTTGACTCGTATAGAAGCCATCAACACTAGCGTTGGCACACAATCTCTTCACAACACCAGAGAGGGTATGGCGTCCTACTGGCACAGCACAGTACCAAGTATCTCGTTTAGGATACTTCAATGGTCACTATTGGAGTTCTAATTTCACTATTGGAGTTCTAATTTCACTATGGGAGTGCTAATTACACTATTGGCGTCTAAAGTATGACTGTCACTCATACTATTGGAAAGCAATTTAGGTTTAATCCGTAATATTGTCTTGTGTTTTGTTATAATAAGGATTATATGGGGAAGGAAGGAGGGGGCATGTATACGCTGTCTGTTGTTACATTAAATATTTACTATAAAAAACGATTTATTTAACAATAAGTCAAAGCACATAAATATTATGAACTACTACAATAATTTCATCATAATGCCTAATGACCGAAGTTTCATAAAATAAAGCGTTGAGACAAAAAATTAATGAGACAGAAGGGCATGCATGCTTGTCCATATGATGTGCAACAAAAAAGTTATTTTAATGGTACGTCAGTTGGTTTACTGAAAATAATATGTTATTCGCGTTCTGCAAACAATAACTTTACTGGTAATATAAGTAAATAAGTAAATATAAAGAGGCTCTTGGATGCAAATTGAACAGAAAGAGAGGTAATAACAACTTATCGCATTGCATCAACTGAGGTGAAACCGGTCTTCAAAGAATTTTCCTCACTAATTAAGATCTGGATTAATTGTAATTTGGATCGATTGGAACTAGCGACGCAGCATGGGGAGAACTCAAAATAATTCACTGGAGATCAAACAGTAAAGGATCTTAAAAGATTGAGTATGAAATCATTGCCTATTTTATAATAGGCTATAGGTGTGATGCACATAGCAATGATGGTGCTATTGTTAACTTGAAGTTCATCAGCTTCCGTTATAAAGACGTCATTGGTATACCATCCTGTAAAAGATAATTAAAATAATTACACTCAGTATATAGACACTGTCTCATTCCGCAGACATTTAGTGATGTTACTTTTGTTCATCATTGGTAGTCCATTCATTTCGTATCTTCCCAAAAAATCGATTATTAGGACTTTGACCGGTGGATTGTGGTTTTGAAAGTCGATTGCCACCTTGTAGTTGTACTCCAACAAAAAGACTTTCCCACTTCCTTACATATTTCTTGAATAATCCAAAGCTATGGTTATCGTAAGTGATATTTACATCAACATCTTAATAATCCACACCATCCCTACCATAAAGGTACGTAGTAGTTGTGTTTTATTTACTAAAGCTTTTTTAACAGCAAGACCAAGAGGCTCACATCTCAACAGACTTACCGCACTTCTATATGTTTTGGTACCGTCAATATCTGCCATGACTTGTAAATCTTTCCTTAAAACTAAATCATCTATTTCATCATCAAATGACCCATTAACATAAGCATAACTATCTTTAACTTCACTGTCGTCTGTAATGATCATACTCATAATTGGACTAAATTTGACAAAAGAGTGAAATCTCCTACCCGTTTTCTATTGGTTCGTCTCCGAATTTACCACAGTCCACAAGCAACAAGATGCATAAACGTTATGGAATGTTTTGGGTAAGCTTTGATGTCCATCTCAAATCAGACCCATCAAAAAAATAGGAGACATAAATAATAAACCAACAAATAAATAATAAACCTGATTACTAATGATTAGTAGGATTTCATCATATAAACATGAGAGCAGGCCAGTTTGCAAATTGGATGATGCAAAGAAATTGTTGTTTTCACCAGCTCTCCAGCGTTATCCCAGCTCTTCGAAAAATATATAGGGAATGATAATTCGCATCTGATATTTATCGCGTTTTGTACTAACCAGAAATGAGATAGACTCCGTCATCTGAGTTTTGCAGTTCAGACTGTATAGCATTCTCTATTTGAACAACAACTTCCTCTTCTGCTGCTTCATATGATATGGAACTTTCACTATCTGTACGTTGATACCTATTGATTTTTGTACTTTCTGTCGGTCGCTTTCGTGATGGAGACGGTGACCCAGAAATTTCATTTTTAAAACTCATGTCAAAGTTCACAGATTTCACTTTTATAGCAATATCCATCTTGTTCACATTGTTCTTATTTTCCCGTACTATTTTTGAGTCTGTTTCGTCCTCTATCTGAGTGGTATTGTGACTGTTTTGATGTGACGTTTTTATTATTCCATTTAGAGTTAGCCCCTCTATTTGTTTATCTGTGACTAAAATAAGATTGATAACATTTTCTATTATATTCATGCTTTTAATGAGTCTTTTAAAAGCTGGCATTCACAAACCTCGGCCAAATTGTCTGAAACTCTTATGATGACTTACATCCACTAAAACGGAGGGGGATATTTTCCAATATTTTTTTCTCCTGCTGCCCAGTAGCACATGTAGACAAAAGCATTGAATCGTAAAATAATATTAAAAACGACATACCCTTGTCTTCTATTTCTTTGACACCAGGTATGTGGCCATTTGTTTTATTTATCCCCATATTCTCTATCTGTAACAGAAGACGTATGTATTTCTCACAAAGTACCTTAGAAAAAGAGAAAGATTCTTATTTGGACTTTACAGTAGGCCTACTTTACTTCTTCACCAAATCTACAAGATTCCACGACATCTAAAAAAGATGACGAGACCTAAAGTATTTTAACAGATTTCACGAGATCTAAAAGATTGATTTCACGAGATCTAAAAGATTGATTTCATGAGATCTAAAAGATTGATTTCACGAGATCTTAAAGATTTCACGAGATCTAAAAGATTTCACGAGACCATAAGCATTTTAAAATAGTCCCTAAAGATTTCAGGAGATTCAGATTAAAAAAGATATAAAAGATTTCATACATATAGTTACCTTTATTTTGTCTAATTCATATTGTAGATTTTTACATTTTTCGTCTACTTTTTGTTTTGCTGCTCTCCAGGATTCAAGTTCTTGATTAAATTCTATTAGACGTACATTTGCCCTTACTGAAAATCAAATAAAATATGATTATTTGTAACTTTATTTCTGAAGGTCAGGTCTTGGTCGCATTAACCTCCCAGTTAAGTCCACACACTCATCAATTTATTGATGTTATTGGACAGAAGCTCCACATATTCATTTTGATGATTGAAACTGTTTACAATACACAAACGTGTTTTATCCCCAGAGATCCAATACTAACAAAATCACTATAAATGCCATGCTTATCTCACTGCTGTGAATGACTTCATTTATGGAGGAAAACTGGGATCAAGATGAAACATTGTTTTAGAAATAGGGGGAATAGGCTTTATTTAGAACTTTATTGTGCCCAAACCATGAATTAGTCTAAACCTTAAAGGATGCCACAACCTGCGACCTTGAAACAAGTACTTAAAAAGCTTACTTACTATTACAAACTGGCGGTATGCGCCAATATCTCAGAATAACAACATATGTCATGGCTTCCCAATATGGTTCTGGTAATTTAACAAATATAAATGTAATTTCAATACCAAATGTTACTAAAATTACCAAACCGTCAAATATCTGTAATTAAAACGAAATTTCACTATATCAATAGTTTTCATGATAAACCTGAAAAATTCTGTAATTGAAGTGGGTCATGAGTGACTTAATCCCATTTTCCCATGGGAAAAGTCTTTAAATTGAAATAAAACATGCCCTTGTGGAAAAAACAAGTGTAGATTATATCTGTTTTTGAACTTTGTTTCACCTGTGCTAGTACATATGTATTATAAAATCTTAGATGTTGCGATTTACAAAACGACGCATGTCATAGTATATTATTAAGTGAGAGTACGTAAATATGGAAACTGTAAACTTACCTGCCATGGAAATACGAAAAACGATCTCCCTCTAGCTAAGATCTTTAGGCAAATCTCAAAAAAAAAAACATACAATTAAATTATTCTTTAAAGATGGGTTTCCTTATTTTTTGGTGTCAAATTAAGCAAGATATTTGATTTATTGGTGTTTCTAATGAATAATGTTCTTATTGCATATAATTAAAAAGTTTTAACCAATCATAAATGCCCATGTATGTACAGTCTGGATAAACAAAAAAAGACTTTTGACCTTTCTCGATCGGTCAATCATTGGAATTCTGCAGGTAATTCCTCTTCTAATTTAGCTAATTATGAATTAATTATGGAAATGTGAGACAAACTAGTATTTTTTCAAGTCATAAGAACACATCTACTTTCTATACATATAAATTAGCATTTTCATTTTCATAAATGAAAATAAGGGAACCGATTTTTTTAGTCGAAATTTTTTTTTTGCTCAAATTTGTGAAACAATACACCAAAATCTAGAGAAAGCTTGAAATTATCTGAAAATTTTAATCAAAAAAAATCCAGTCGTTAATTTTTAAACGCCCGAAATATTTAAAAACATTACTAAGGTTTTTAAGTTTGTTATGATTTTTGGAAGCTAATATGAACTATACAGTTCATAACGCCTAATTAGGCCTAATTGTCTCCTGAAAAGGTTTTAACTCAATATAACAGCCATTAAAAAGCCAAACACCAAAACAAGATCAAACTGCTTAAAGTAGTACCATTTTTAACCTTTTAAAACAAATTCAGTTTGATTAAGAAGATACATATATAGATATAAAAACATATTTCAGAAATATTTTCAGGTTTACAACGTTTTTGATTATGAAAACATTTTACAAAAAACGGAATGTCCCTTTAATATCTTCATCAAATATCTTTAACAAAGTTCAAAAATCTTCACGAACGTTTCTATATATATATATAAAGCGCAGGCAAACAGAATCACCTGATTAAAAAAATTGCCCTGAGTTCTGGAAGGCATTAAATATTCTGATATCATATCTATGTCAGTAAATTACAGTTCGTGTGTTAGAAATATACACAAACCTCTAACAGGAATAATGCTGCTATAACAAGGCTTGTATAACGAAAGACACAATTGGCAATAAATATATTAAGTGTCAAATTATCTTCCCCTTGAACATAATCATTTTTTTCTGAAGTAGAATTCGTACGCTGTGTTTTTTCTTCAATCTTCTTTCCATTATCAGGTGGCTCTAAAAGACATGAAAATATTGGGAATTACTAATTATCATGCTCCAATAACAAGCTTATTTTTATTTCGCTTCTAATCAACAGACCAGACCCGAAATTCCTTTAAAATTATGGGAGCCACGGTGGCCCATAGTGAGGTCCATGGTTCAATTCTGGCATAGGTCGAGGTAATTACTTCGAATTTTTCAGCCCAATGTCAGAATAGTCCGAAACACACTATCGCTTACCTATGCCACTAGAGCTTTTTCTGGCAATTTTAGACTATGGTAGAGACAGAAAATCCAGATGTTCCATTTTAATTGCAATGTTACAATACTTAAAATTAGAGGAAATCTAAATTTAGGTCATATAGGCTATGCAACCTTCAGCATACAGACCACAGTGGGATTGCTAAACATTTGCATGTTGAAAAAGAATAAGATTTATTTCTTGTTTCGTTTCGTCATAAGTAATAAAAACAACTTTTTATTGCAGCCTGAATCAGAAAAACGTGCTTTCAATTTGCGAATATCAATTCTCAAATGACCTGGCGGATGGCGGAGACGGTGCGCCTTCGGCGGAGGATTCAAGACACCAGAAGAAGAGCTGGCTAATGCCACTGTCCTGGCAACATTACCCCACATGGTGCAGAAAAGAAGGATGTAAAAACTCCATTCATTTCATTTCATTTAAAAAACATATCTTAAGAATTAGATCATTGGATGACTTTGCAAATATGACTAGCCTATCTGTGAATGCCTCATGAATGACGATATACAACATAATTATAGTATCTAGAATTGTATCTTTTAGTTTGTTGTAAATATTACCTTGTATAATTTTGAGTCCTATCAGTAATTCTCCTGTAACAGCTAGTACTGAGATAGTAGTCAGAGTTATAACTGATGTTTCAATACAAACACCATATAACTTGGATTCTAATCTACCCATACATGACCTCCTAAAATATATCAAAACACTCTAAATTAATTTTTATTAAAAGTTATTAGTTCTGCTAATAGTTAAATATGTACCAATCTAATTACAATTTTGTATCTGTTTTGTTTTCTGGGATAGCGGAACCCAAAGTGGCAGCCATACTACTTTAGGTTTCTATATCCCATAATTCCCTTTTTTATTGACATTTGGGTTTACTTTGGTTTAAAATACTACCTTTCGGACAGACCTCTTTACGAAAAAGATACAAAATTGTAATTCAATTTTCAACAGATTGAATATTCACATAGGCCTACTACGCAAATGATAATGTTGATGTCTAGACTAAGTAATAGTTAATATCAGGCTGATGATGAGTTCCCTTATTTTCAGTTATGAGATGTAAATGCTAATACTTATATGAATAGAAAGTAGATGTGTTCTAATGACTTGGAAAAATACAAGTTTGTCTCACATGTCCATAATTAATTCATAATTAGCTAATTAGAAGAGAATTAGCAACAGAATTCCAATGAGTGACCGATCAAGAAAGGTCAAGAATACATGACAATTAATTAGAAACACCATCCAATCGAATAGTTTTCTTAATTTGACACTACGAAACACGATGATCCTAATAGGCCTACGAGTAACCTAGCGGTTTGATGATGTCAAAAATCCCATGTAGCCTAACAAAACCCAAATCAACAATTTCTTTTAATTTGTAAGAATCCAAGACTACAGTGATTGTTGGTTTTTCGAAGCTTTTATTTAATTACAGGCCAAAGGAATAATGTCATACATTGCGGGCTAATTACCAACCAACCATAAAATAATTACATGCCGATAATCAACCTACTTCAGTGTAAACTACATAACGCGTGAGAATGATCAATTATTCTTTCTTAGTTCAATTACACAATGACCTTCAAGCAAATTCCAGTAAATATATACCACCAATCAGATGTTCTAGTATCCATTTTGAAGATGTCTTGCTTGGCCTTGGTGTGTGGATAGAAGTATAGATGATATGTTTTCGGTTATACGGTAGATTTTTATTTCTATTGATAGTCTGTAGGTATCAAGTGCAAATTAAATGTGAAAGTATGTTAAGGGGATGGGTGAGCGGTGTCGTAGAGGGGGATTGAGGGGGCAGGGGGGGTTATGGTAGTGGGGGTAAATGTATATTAATTTATGGAGACGGAGGAGAGGTAGATTAGATGTCATGTGGTGACAGTTCACAACCTAATCATACCATAGCTCTTTCAGATCAACTGATAATATTTCACTATAAACCAATATTTCATGTTCAATAGATCATTAAAATGTTATTTCTGTTTCCATGGTATTAGTTTACTTGTTCAACGTGACATTTATACACATGTCACCGTTTTGAATTCCTTGACAACAAATGTGTCTTTGTTTCATTAATCGCTGAATAGTGGTTTCAATAACAAGACATTCTCTGAAATCTTAGCAAATATGAAAAAGAAAACAACAAAAGATTATGTGGGAGTGGAATTTCGGAATGCTATGTGTAGGCAACATTGACATCGTTGACTGAAAAGAAACATGAACTTTTTTCTTTGCCTCACTTTTTCGTCAAGCTTATGTTATGTTAACAGAAAAACTGCATCACCTGTAAACTTTTCTCAACGCAATCAGGCTATCCTTCATTAAAATGGAACTCGGAAGAACATAAAAATGTGTGATGCTATCATGCTGGGTATCAATAAACCTGTTTGTTCTTTTTAATATTTACGTGAACATTTTGAATGATAAAAATGGTGGTCACTTGGAACACATTAAATATAATATGTAAGCTAATTGCGCATAAATGAACACAATTTCAGTGTGTATATACGAAATTATGTAAAAGTAATAGAATAGAGACAGATGTTTTGGACTCGGCAACCATGTGAACCATGTGCAATTTCATATATGAACACTTTTCCATAAACGTGACAGCTACAATAAATAGTTGTCCGTCTCCCTAAATAAATAAAAATTGTTCAATTTAACAGAGAACGCAAACATTTACTTATAATAATATGAGAGCCATTCTTATAAACATTCCAACCACACTGTGAAAAGGACCAAGAACACGAAAGCCATGTAAATGCTACCAAAAGACAAACAAATATAATAATATGTTAATAAGATACATATTCGATGAAAAGGACAGTCAATAATGATCACAGTAAATAGATGAATAAATGTATATTATTATTATGTTTAAATGAGTATTGTAGCCAAATGAACATAATAGATATGTTATTAAGAAGAACATGACAGTCCCAAACAGAAAAATTAGGTTGAAGAATAATTATTTAGACTGTTTCGATGAACATGACAGACACACAAATGAACCATATCATGAGATCATACATAAGAGCATGATAATCAAGAACAGTTCAATGATAAATTGAACATGACAGTTGCTAATGTACAAACATTTGGTGATAGTAATTATGGGACAATTTTGATGAACATGAATAGATGTACGTTTCGTTCCGTGTGACGATAAAATGAACACGACAGTCACGTGAACCCAATCAATAGGTGTAAGTAATTAAGAGACGGATAAGAGATACGAGGTTATATGTCAGGTTAAACTAAACACCGGATTATCCACATTAAATATTTAGTTTAGTATCTACTTTAAACTTTATATAATCCTTCCCAGACGATCAATAAAATCCGGGGTATCTTCCTACCAAATATCAAGACGTTTTGTTTTTGTTGTTTCAACCCAAACGATCGTACACTTTCATGGGTGTTACTTTTGGGTGAAGTGCTTCCAGTGAAGCTCCGAAATTAAATGTGTAATATTATGGTTGGGAAATCTAAAAGATCTTATACAAAGAACTGCTTGAATGGTGGATCTAGTTTTACATAATATGTCAATATTATTATTTAAGTTTGAACATGTCAGACATTCTTATGTGACGCTTTTTTTTTTTTACAAAGAAATATCCTTTTCAATATTTTATTTGAAAAACCTCTTTTCTTCAATTAGGCTATTCCTTTCAGTTTTGTTTTTGTTTTTGTTCTAGAATAGGACAATAATATATATATTTTGTTTTATTTACATGTATTTTGTAGCCTATTAGTTTTATTTCGCTTTTTCATCCTGCATGTCATAATGTCTGTATTTTATCTTATCTATTCACAGCATATGTATTTTTTTATTTGTATACTGCCCATAAAATACATATATTGCAGTAAATCTAATCTTCTCCTGTAATTGCAATTTCAAAAGTTGCATTATATACTTAACAAGTCCTTATTCATGAATCCACGAAGCAGAAAAAAAAATAGATTTATCAACTTGTTTTAAAATTTCAAAAAGGTTCCCGCATAATATAATTTACTGATTTTATTTTGACACACACAACAGAATCCCCTTCCCTGGTTTGAAGCCATTCTCCATACTATTTGAAGTTTGACATACTGGATTTGGAAACAATGAATTGAGTCCTTTGTTTGAAAAAAACTCAAAATTTTCTATACAATGCGAAATGGAAATAAAAAGTTGAGTACTTACCAAAGGCTATAAAGGAAAAATAAAAAATTTTTAGGCCACAGACACAATAAGAGAAGAAAATATTTATCTAACGTAACTAAGGCTTTCACCATCTTATTTCTATTGAGATATTTAACAATATTTCACAAACAGAACAGCTGGGAGGATCATTTAAAGGGATCGTCTCTAGTTTAATAAACAAAGGAAGGAATGCTGAGCGCTGTTGATATTAGCACATAATATTAAAACAGTGTCACCTTATAATGTGCTATGTTTATTCAAATAAATCATGTAAAAAGAACATAAAAAGTATGTATAATACATATGACAAGTTTTTTTGTTCATTTTTTAGTATAAAGGCTACATTATCATTTTCCCAGACCTAATATGACTTTTAACTGCATTGAGATTTCTGAACATCTTTTTTCTCAGATAATCATTTTCATTTTTCCAGCTAACAAAAGAAAATGATATGGTTATCATAATGTATGATACAGCTAGGCTATGCTTAAAGACCACAGACTAGTCACCTTAACAGAAAAAGGCATCTCGGTAGTAGTCAGAACAATAAAATCCCTTGTTTAAAATCCCTATTTTCACGAGCCCTGTTCACACGCCACATTTGGTTTAGACATCTTACATCTTAGCGTGATTCATGCAGCTTCGCTTTCTAACAAAGAACTATTTTCATGGTGATTAATTTTAATCATATTCTACCCCTGAACATTTTAATGAAAACAAAATCTGTTCTTTGTTAATATCATGTTAGTAGACCATCAATCTATATAAGGAATAATCAATATAAACCTAACCATGTTACATAATTTGCCTGGAGATCATCAATTCGTTAAAGAAGACGGAAATTAATTCACTCATACTGAAATACAAAAGTCAATCTTTCGTTTGTTTTTTATTTCTGTGGGCTACTTCATAGTGAACTGAACATAGACAATTTTCTTTGTGTCCTCTTGCCAAAAGCAAAATACACTTAAAGATTGGTTTCTTCATTTTTTAATGTAAACTATTTGATTAATTATTAAAATATCATTATTCTTCACATTTTACTTCATACATACAATATATTTACATTTATACAATATTATGTTTCCTAAAGTATACGTCAATTCAAGATTTAAAGGGCTATATAACCGATACATTTACAAATTAATTACAGCCGTCAATAAATACAGATAAACATACTTCACAATGTAAATATATTTCCATTTGTTCATCAAATTTTTATTTTGTTTTGTTTCAATTATAGCCTGTGTTTTAATAAAAGAAATGAATTGGTTTAGTGATGGTTTTGAATTTGAGCATTTGCACTTGTATATGAAATACTTTCCCAGAATTATAATATGATTTATTAAGTGATATTGATTATTGTCTCCGAAATCATTTTGGTCTATGCCTAAATGGATTGCTTTATTGGTAAGTTGGATGTTGATATCATTTATTGCTATTATATTGCGAATATGATTCCAGATTTCATGAACAAATGTACAGTAGATAAAGAGGTGTTCGACTGATTCAAGATCTGAGCTACAAAAAGTACATAAAGTTGTATCCGTTAGTTTGAATTTAAAAAGTTTGATATTAGTATAAATAATTTTATGGACATATTTATATTGAAAATTGTTTATTTTGGCATCTATACAGATGCAATGTAATCGTTTGAACACTTCTTGTATATCGCTCTCTGTTAAATCTATGTTTAACTCTGTTTGCCATTTTGTGAAAGATTTGGGTGTAAAAAATTTGTTTGCGTATAATCTTTTATTATAGATTTGTCTTGCTTTGCAAGTTATGAAGTTGTATATTTTCTTAAATATGTTTTGTAATGTAGAAAAAAACGTTTGTTTGTATAGATCGTAGTCCGTCAAATTTTCACTGTCTATTTGGATTAGGTCATTGCTCATTTCATCAGTGTTACCATTATTTTCAGTGGATTTCATTAGTTTTAGACTTTTTGTTCTGTAACCGTGATATATTAATTTATCTATTTCTGATAGAGTTTTGATATTATTATATGGTTTGATAAAATTAGATATGAATAAAAGATTTTTCTGTATGAGCCTTTTCATGGTGGTTATGTTGACTTCTTTGTCTATATGTTTATTTAGAAATATTATTTGGTGTTCGATTTCAGTTGTTTCACCTATATGCCCGTTAAATAGTTCGTTATCATTATTCTTAATCATATCATTATGTTCTTATTGCAAATAATTAAGAGTTTTAACCAATCATAAATGTTCATGTATGTACAGTCTGGATGAACAAAAAAAGACTTTTTGAAATTTATCTTGATCGGTCACTCATTGTAATTCTGCTGGTCATTCTTTTCTAATTCAGTTAATAATGATTTAAAACGAAAACTGGTATTTTTCCATGTCATCAGAACACTTCTACTTTCTTTTCATGCAAGTACTAGCATTTTCATTTTCATACATGGAA